TTTTCAATATATTTTTCATATATTAGTCGACTTTTTGGTATCCATTCTTGATGTTGTAATGTTAACTGCAGCGGTTTTATGTACAATGTTATATACATTATTCCTGTGTAATTCATCTTGGACCGAACATACCATCACTCTTGCCAGTCAACCCCCCCCCCCCCCCCCTCGCTCTCTCTCTCTCTCTCTCTCTCTCTCTTTCTCTCTCTCCCTCTCATTTGTACCAATGGGAGGGTCATGGCCGAGTGGTTTAATGTGTTTGCCTGGATATGCGGAGGTTGAGGGTTCGAATCCCGACACGGCACTAATATCCTTTGGCAAGATTAACCTGCACTTGCTACTCTCCACCCAGGTGTTAAATGGGTAGCCGGTAGGATGCGACCGTCATTGTTGGTCAAACAGTTTTGGAGCGTCAAGTAACGCCCTGCTGGAGTGCTCCCCAGGGAGTGGAGATTGTGCACACAGTGCGTGCGGGCAAGCACTGAATACAATGACCGGGGTAATAGTCTATTAAGCGCTTAGAGGCATTATAATTATTAGGCGCTATATAAGCGGAATATTATTGATATAATACGATGATAGATACGTGATTATATTATAAGATTATATGTACGTGACCACGCCGATTGTGATAAAAGAGTAGCAATGAATTATCATTTACATCACGCTGAAGGCGCATCCTTGACGGTAACGGACCAACACATGCCACCAATTAACTAATTATATTTACTCTAGTTCCCAATTAATACAGAGGCGGCGCTTCCGGGGAAGACAGTGGGTGCACAATGCCACCACTTGTACACACCCTAAAATTGCTCCTTTTACTTCAAATAAGAACCCCTTTTCAGATCTAATAGGTGCCTATTTTACATTTACAAGTGCCTCTTCCCATCTCTGTTGAAATTCCCTTTTAACCTCTGATAAGTTCCCTTTTCCTTTTTAATAAGATTCTCTACCCATTTCCCTTCTCATAAATGCCCATTTCCACCTTTGATAAATGCTCCTAGTAAAATCTGATAGGTTTAAATTTTTCATCGGCAAGCGCTCTTTTACATTTGCAATAAGGGTCCCTTTTCCAATCTCATAAATGCCATTTTCATTTGTGGTGAATGTCCATTTTCAGAGACGAAAAGTGCCCCTTTAATACCATCTCCGATAAGTGCCTTTTTCTTTTCTTTCTAATAGGTGCCCTTTATGCACAACATGTGCCCCTTATTTAAAGCGACTAAGAGCAACTATCTTTTTTTAATTTTCCCTAAAAGTCGCTCCTAACTGTCGCTAGCATTTATGATTGATGTAATGTTTTAACATTATATGGAAAGCTTTTTAAGACTTCTGGAAGATATTGTGCTTATAAATCTTTCATGATTTTGTTCCTCTTTATAAAAATCGAATTCTTCGCAATGCGACCTCACAAATATTTATTTGTTTGCTCACTCACTCCGCTTGCTCGCACGAATCTTCAAACCAGCATACCCAAGTAAAGTATTTTGGACCATGTAAAAACGGAAAAAATATTAAATTCAGCTCTGAGTATGTATTATTCCTAATGTTAAATACAAATGTCAAAAAATTGAATATTTTCGCTTTGCCGTTTCCCTTTGTAGCCGCCCCTTTTTTCAGAAAGCGTTCTTTTTTCTTGGTACCCCCACACATTGTTTTAATAATTATATTTCCCCCAATCCTTCACCTTTCTCTCACTCTCTCTCTCTCTCTCTCTTCCTGCCTACTTCTCTCAAGCTGATTATTCCCATTCGATATACTGTCCCCTCACTGTCAGTCTTATCGTTCAGTCGACTATGTCATTTCCATATCCATTACTCTCATGGGGATCTGCTCTTATCCGTTGAAGTGTCCAATTTGAAATGGAATACTCATGACTGTAATAGTGATGTCAATGATGCAGCTCTCTGCAAGTATAGGATGGTTGAATTAATCAAGGATATATTCCTGCTTGAACTTTGTTTAATATACACTTTCGAAAAAGGGTTGTTTGTTTTAATATAACCTATTTCATTCTTTTATTTTTTACTAAAAAAGAAATTGTCAAATTTGTATAGTAAGCAAATAATTACCGTTGGTGAAGGTGATGGCACAAACTATCACTTCCGAGGCGATCTGGAAGTAGCTATCTTTCCGAAGCGAAGCTGAGGGAAGATAACGTATATATTCTGATCGACGAGGAAGTGATAGTTTGCCATCGCCTGAAAACCAAAAGGTGATTATTTGCTTTATATTCCACATCTAAAACAATTTAATTACAAAAAGAAAAGGACGTGTATGCATCTACATAAAAGACACCTAGGCCCCAGTTCACACCAAAAAAGTTTAAGTTTAACCCAACCCCTTGAGGGTAAGGTGCGCGCGCGCGCATGTGTTGTCTTTAATTGCGCTCATTGGTAATACGCGCTTTATTACGCCTGTTTTAGTGCGCGTTTGGATAATCTTCAGTGAAAGTGCGTTGCCCTTTGTAGATAGTACCTCTATCTTCAATGAAAGTGTGTTGCACTGTGTAGATAGTAGTACTATCTACACAGTGTAACGAACTTTTTGCTTCTCCTATCAATAATGGGCGAACTATCTTTCCTCACGTGATTTACTTTTCACCAATCGTAGAGCAAGATTCTTAGTATGTGGGATATAATATTTTTTAAGCCCCTCAATGATAATAATAATAGTTTGTTCTGGTATAGTCTTTCTTAGTCTGTCCAACTTGACACTCCTGGTGCTCCACAATAATTCCCGTCTTTAGCATGGCTCTCATAATGGCGCTCTAGCGTTTCAAGAAATTAATTCCTGCTTAATGCATTGGCAGTATAATAATATAGTTGTTGAATGAGCAGTGACAGTTGACATGGATAAGATTGCTTTCCCATTCGTCATGTTTCGAGCCTAAAAGTAATTACTGGGAACCGCTGTCAAAGGTACAAAACGCGCTTTAGTAATTGCCGAATAATATGATTGTCAAATATTTATAGTCGATGCTTCATTTTGTTTTGCACTTATAATGCATTATTCGAAGTAGGGATGTGGGTCGCACCTTAACGAATACTGACATTACTTCTGGATTGAAAAGAAATGATTGCTACAAGTTTTTGAGGATGAATGGATTCATCCGAACTTTCAGGATCGAAGGGTAAATATCAACAAAATATTTTACTTCCAATTCGTACTTGCGTCATTAAACCACAATATTCATATATGTCGCTATATGGCCTGTTAACAATGAAATTAGACAGATTTGGTAAAAACGTTAAGGCCCCAATATTCCAAATTATAATACTAAAATTTAAATACCATTAAAACTTCTACTATTACTACTACTACTACTACAACTACTTCTACTACTTCTAATAATTATTCTAATACAGCTACAATATTATTACTACTAGTACTACTACTACTACTACTACTACAACAACAACAACTACTACTACTACTTCTACTACTGCTTCTACTACTACTACTACTACTACTGCTACTACTGCTTCTGCTACTACTACTACTACTACTACTTCTACTACTACTTCTACTACTACTAGTACTACTACTACTACTACTACTACTACTACTACTACTACTACTACTAATACTACTGCTTGTATTAGTACTACTACCAATACTAACACCACTACTACTACTACTACTACTATTACTACTACTGCTTCTGCTACTTACTACTACATGTATGACTACCATTACCTCTATTAATACTACTACTACTACTACTACTACTACTCTAGCTTTTACTACTGCTACTACTATCACTGCTATATTACTTCTCCTGCTACTGCTACTAATATTTCTGCTGCCGCTGCTACTCTACTCAGTGGTGGATCCAGGGGGCGGGGAGACGGCCCCACTCCCCTGGTGCTCAAGGGGGGGGGGTGCGATTTTCAAATATTCTAGGGCCAAAAAGAAGAAAAAACCCACTTCATTTTATGTATGTTATTAACAAAGAAAATAAGATGTCGGTCACTCATTAGTGTCTGACAGGGAAGTCTAGAAAGTAAACGGGTTTCCTTGCATAATTTGAATAATAGGACAGGGCTAACGTTTAAATTTCACAGATAGCAATTACATGACATATTCTTACTTCCTGCAAAGTTCTACATAATTTGATGTTGGCTGCAAAAGGGACATATATACTGGCCGAATTCACGAAGGAGCTTTGTCCACAAACCTAGGTTTATGTCATATGACGCGTTTCGACGCGTTTCAGACCAAGGTTTGTCGACAAACCTCCTTTGTGAATTCGGAATAGTATCTTTAAGCAATTAAGTAATGACCAATTCTATCAAACATCGGCGTAGCTTAATTGTACTGAAGCCCATTAGTGCCACCATGTGAATTAACATAGTAAAGGAGCGGTACAGGTATATGAGCCTTTTAGTTCCTAAGAAAATTCCCCTCTGGGCAATCACCTAAATTAACTCACATGGTGGCAATAATGGGCTTCCGTACAATTGCCTTTGCGCGCAACATAAAAAAAAAGCATGAAAGGGAAGTCTGCGCGAAAATGAAGGAAGAATAGAGGAGCTAGAGGAGAGGAAAGAGGAATATACCGTCTCTCTCTCTCTATTATACATATCACTTTCTTTTCCATTTTTCATCTGTTTATTTGACAATCCCATTTTTTTTTCTCTCTCTCTCTTCTTCAGGTATCGCACATGATGATGGAATACGAATGATGAAAATGAAGCTCCATCATGATCTGATTTCAAACTACGGACCAACAACGATTCGACCCGTTATTACCAATTCTTCCTCTGTCCAAGTAAAAATGCGCATGCTTGTCGACCACATTGCCGATTTTGTGAGTCATTATAATATTTGTTTGAGGGCACCTTTGAAATTGTTAATTGTAATCAATGTTGAGTTATATTTCATACGAATGTTAACAAATATGTTTGATTTTCACTTCACGGTGCATTATTTTTTGGTAGAAAACGGATGGCAACCTGAATAGACGAACCTTCATATAGATGAAAACTGAAATAATGACAATGGTAATGTCGTGGTGTGATTACTTCGGGTTATCAGGGATACAACGCTAATGAAGCACATCAAAGAACCGGGCTTTGCCTGAATGTCGCTGTTGAACCATTTTATTTGTTCAGGTCAAATTCGGAAATCATGAAAACCCTGCAAATCAATCAGAAAAAGGACAATCTTAAATACAACTACACAAATTCAAGTAACATGTATAAGCAACTATTTTGTAGGATTACATTAATCACTGACAAAATAGGCTAGGTTATCAGAAATAAAATAGCTAAATAGCTTTTAAAAATACCATAAGGGTGCACATTTACACCGCCTGTCAGATACTCTACCCTAAAAGGAGCAGATCATCACCCTCTGCCATAACGCGTAGGTGGGTGCAAATCTGTATCCTAATCGCACCTTTATTTCTTAGTGTGTATTGTTAATTGCTTATAACATAATATTTGCCATTGTACATTTCTTGTAAAGACGTTTAACTGCCGTGGTTAAAACGTTTTTGTTTTCAATTTTATTTGATCAATCGTACTGTCTTACTAGGATGAACCCAAGCAGCAAGTGACCCTCTTATGTGCATTGAAAGTGGTAAGCAAACAAATACTCAGATATAATATATCAATGACTTAGCATGCGGTGAAGGGCAATGGAGACCTAATTCGTGTTAATAGAAGGGAGAAGGGAAAGAGAAAAAGATGGTAAGGAGAATTTAAAAAAGAAACTTAAACAGAAATTGAAAAGGAAACCGAAGTGGTCCGTCATGCAGTTGAAGGTATTACAAAGTTTTGGTAAATTTAGAAAATTGACTGGATAGTGATTCTCTACAATTTTGATATATATGGATGCCCCTATGGATATATTATAAGCACTAAAAAATGTAGCCCCTAAAACACTTCTGTTTTCGAGAAAAATTGAATATACAAATTTACCGGTGCTCCCGGTAAATTTTGATAAATTTCAAATAGCGCCTACGACCATACGATGGTAGCTGCGACCATGAAAATCTCAGAATATGTAGTTGTGATATATATATTCCAAACGGTAACAGCAAATCGGTCGATTTCATTCAAAAAAACAATGTTTTATAGCTAAATTCATATATTGACCTTGAGAGGGCGCTATACAAAATAAAGAGTTTAGTATTTACAATTTTATAACTTTAGACTCGATTTCAACCGCAACAACGATCACAGAATATTGTATGATCGCCTATGCTTCCAATATGTTCATTTGAACCAAATTCATGACCCCATACCATAACTTTGTATTACCTTTAAGATACAGCCCGTTTAGGTGTTAAAATGCACTCTCTCGCTCCTTAAACAGGAGGGGAGCAACATAAGAAATCCATCAATGCATCGATCCATTAATTATCCCCGAAAAATAGACAGAGTACACACATTACCTACCCGACTGTCTCACAATATTAAAATATATAATAATATTGATAATAATAACAAAATTAATACTCACAAAAAACAAAATCTCGATTAATGAATGTATTATACATGTTGTTTAGCTGAGTTCTTGTTTCAAACCGCAAATGTCTTCAAAGTGCATCGTTATTGCTCTTATTCTTATCTATGACATTTCTAGTGCCCTTGTAGGACCTAAAATTGCTATGAAGGTAATTTTAGACCCCAAAATATGTGAAATTTTGGCTATTTTTCCAATACGATCATACCAATTCAGCTCCACTTTCGAAAAAATATGGTGATTGTTATTTATTTAATAACTTAATAATAACAATACACGGACCGACTGGTTGTGTATTATAACCAACACGAAAAAGCCAACATTGGGCGCTATATCGTTTTTTTCAACGGCTGGTTCAAAATTATCGAAAATTTGTGATGCCCCACAAAACATTAAAAATGGTTTTATTCATGGATATCTCAGCCGTCTCTGAACAGACTTTGATTAAGCAAAGATGATTTTGTCATTTAAATTGTATGTTCTTTCAAATTTGACACTTCGTTTTTTCATTATCTCACACAAAAAAAATGTGGAGCGCCCTCTGCAACCAAACTCAACTCTTCCTTTCAGATATTAGGAATCATTGGATATTCTATGAGCCTCATAACGTCATCCTGACTCTATCGAAATATGTTATTTTCATTTTTCAGATATGGAGAGACGAGTATTTATCGTGGAATGAGAGTGACTACCCAGGGATCACGTTTCTCGAGGTTGATGTTGATTTAATATGGAGTCCGACTATCACAGTGTTGACGAGGTAGGCATTCTTGATATCGTTATAATCTCTTTGGTAGGACTGCGGAATTTATTTCTTATTGAATTCTAAATTGTGTTTCTATTGTATTTGAAATTATTTTTTCTTTTCCAATTTCGTGTTGAAATCGTTCACTGGAGCGTTTGCATTCTACAAGCATTGGCAAACGACTCTCACTTAATAAGTATGTATGAATTCATTTTACCAAGGTATATCTATGCTCATTTGATTTTGAATTATTTATTTCCGTTTCAGTATTTACATATTAAAACACGTACAAGGAACATATACATTAAATAATGAGATTAAACAAAGCACTAAGCTTGTAAAATAAGAGAAAATACAAATGTATTGAAAACTGAAAATGAAAACGGATCATTGTTGTCCTAAATGTATACATAACGATGAAACGGAAGGGCGTGTTTAATAAAGAAGCCATACCTGTATGGCGTACGCCCCTAAACTTTAGTTATGTAAAATTAATAGAGTTTGGTCAATATATAGCTATATCAGTTTAACTTTTATTTACTGTAAAAGAAGAGGGAGAGAGAAAATATGTAGTATATTCCAAACCCTCTATGTCTGAAAGCCTAATTTCTCATTTGAGGAGATGATACAGCAGAAAAAGCATAACACAAATTCTCTCAATATTCTTCATGATAAACTAATTTGTTCAATATTTGTGTTATGAATATTATATTTGGCAAGATTCGATACTGGTAATGACTAATTAAAAGTGAAAAAGAAATGGCTGATGCACAAGCCCTTTGAAAAGGACATTTTGACATTTTACAGACTATTGTCTACATGTACATGTATATCTACATGTACATGTTTATATTGCATTGTGGTCATTAATGACACACTATGAATGGTCAGAGCAAATAGGTGCTTTAGAGAAGGAAGATTCTCTCTCTCTCTCTCTCTCTCTCTCTCTCTCTCTCTCTCTCTATATATATATATATATATATAAAATAATACAAATAATAATAACAACAGTTATAATGCGCACATATCCACCCAAGAGATGCTCAAGGCGCCTAACAAGGTAAATACATTAAACTTAAGAAAGTACATAAGAAGTTACAGAGAACAAAAATAATTTAACATAATTGAATATAATTAAACAATGTTAATTACATGAGATTGTGAAATACACTGCGTCTTAACTAATGAATTCAAACATTAGATAGGTTTTCAAGTTTTTTTGGAACAAATTTTGATTGGCTGACATTTTGATTGAATGGGGTAGGGAGTTCCATAACCGCGGTGCAGCAGCTATAAAAGCTCTGTCACCCAACTCTATTTGTATCAAAATAATACATATATATACACATATGAAGATATTAAGGGTTTGCTGATTGGCCTGCCTGATGATGATCCCAGTCTTTCTATCTATTTCATTTTTCAATTTTACAGCAACAGTCCAGATTTCTTACAACTGAATCATCGTCGTGTAGAAGTATCTGCTGAGGGCACGGTTACGTGGGTGTCTCCAGCAATCATCACCAGTACTTGCTACTTTGATGTCCTACTATTTCCTTTTGATGTCCAGAAGTGTGTCTTTGAATTCGGACCCTGGGCTAGTCCTTATAACATAGAAGAACTGGACTTCTTTTTCGAACGGAACGAGACGACGGTCAACCGCTACCGCAAAAACGGCGTGTGGGAGATCGTCAACGACACAGTTCGAAAAGAATACACCGACTACAGCTCTCACGAAGAACCATTTGCAGAGCTTCATTACCACATCACTTTCAGGAGGATACCAAGAGTCTATATCTTGGGTATCGTCATCCCGTCTGTCCTACTCTCTATATCCACCATGCTCATCTTTCTACTGCCTCCCGAGTCCGGAGAGAAGATCTCATTTGGTGTCACTAATCTCCTAGCTATGGTACTCTTTCAGGAGACTGTCCGATCTGCCATGCCACCTACAGGCTCACCCATTCTAGGTAAATATGTATTATAATAGCTCGGGACAATCTTAAGAATCGTACGGCATGGTGACAAATGGGCACTTATTCATGGATCGAGACACACCTGTACTCATACTCCTGTTATACAGAGCGAGTCAGAAAAAATGTCCCACTTTTTAAAAGTTGTATTGTTTAAAGTATGAATATTTAATCGTCGGTTTCATGATATGTCTTGATAGAGTTAGCCTCCTAGTACATGTAGGTACCATTTCCATTTGAATCTCTGCATGCATGACTGAACATCAGACAATCTTTACAAGACTGTCAGATCTCACTTGCGCCAATTCAGTGGCGGATCCAGGGGGGGGGGGGCCCGGGGGCCCCGGGCCCCCCCCCCCCTTGAGAAAAAAAATCATGTAAAATCACGTGATTTTTACGGTTTTGGGGGGTGCAAATTGAAATTTTTTTGAGGACCAAAGAAAAAAATGTGCTCACTACCCCCCCCCCCCCCCCCCCCCCCCACTGAGCGACTTTTCGGCCGGCACGACTTTCAAATTTTCGGGGGCAAAAAAAAAAAAGAAGAAAGTTGGGCCCCCTCCCCTAAGAAATCCTGGATCCGCGCCTGCGCCAAGTTACTGGGTGAGGAATAAAACAGTGCATTGAACAAAGACAGTTAGACGGACACACACGCACACGCACACATACACACGCACACACACAAATACATCCACGCACACGCACACATGCACACACAACACACACGGTGACGATTGTTTTATAATTTCCCCTTTTCTGATTAAGTATTGATTTTTATCAAGATCGCTGAATGTTTAAGTGGCATAACCATGACAACCTTTCCCTTTAGTTCACATTCACTGCCACCATCATGTCATCATCATCATCATTGTCATCATCTTAATCTTCATCATCATCATCATTATCATCATCATCATCATGAAACACAACATCCGCCAATACGCACCAAGCGGACAAGAAGAATTCCCGACAAAAAGTAACAGTTTGGCTGGGCCTTGTCGAGAATGGAACGCTCATTTGTGTGCGTGTGCCTGTGTGTGTGAGTGTGTGTGTGTTTGTGCATGTCCGTGTGTGTGTGAGTGTGTGTGTGTGTGTGTGTGTGTTTTGTCTGTCTGGCAGTCTTTCTTCAAAACACTATTTTATTCCTCACCCAGCAACTTGGTGCAAGTGAGATCTGGCAGTCTTGTAAAGATTGTCTGATGTTCAGTCATGCATGCAGAGATTCAATTGCAAATGGTACCTAAATGTACTGGGAGGATAACTCTATCAAGACATATCATGAAACCCACGATTAAATATTCATACTTCAAACAATACAACTTTTAAAAAGTGGGATATTTTTCTGACTCACTCTGTATAGTGGAAATGTTATTCATATGTGAAATATCTAGTATTAAGAACTTTTCCATGATGAATTGCCCTCCCTTGAAAGTTATTTTTTGGTGCCTTATGGTGGTCTTACATTATTTTCATGTCGTCAATTTCTTTATTGTCAGGGTTTGAGGAAACATGATGTCTAAACCAATAACTTGGGTGGATAATCCTGCATATCGGGTGTGTCTTACTATATCGACGCACAGCAACAGTTTATTACTTAGATTTATTGATAGATAACCACCTGACATAATTCGTAAAAACATTATTGATCGTTACAAAGATTCGGAAGAATAATTATCATCTTTGCTAAAAATTGCTCTCTTTCCATTCAAGCGAATTACATTTGTGTAATGATGATTGTAGCCTGCACATCCCTTATCATTGAGGCAATCGTCCTTCGGATGTACAACCTGGGCAACGCCAGTGACATACCAAGATGGATGCAACGTTTGTTCATCAAAAAACACCAAACTGTGTCACTCTGTCGAAGAAAAGAGCCTGGGCTTCACGCTCCACTACAGAAGGGGGCTATAATCGTCCATCACGATGGCAGTGACGATCCTGCAGAGCATGTTTGTGAAGATGATCAAAAACTTCAATGTTCCGATTCTCGAAATATGTTAGATAATGCAGAATTGTGGAAGATGGTGGCGTTGTCTTTCGAAGAGAAGACAGCTTTCCTAACGCTTTGTGCGATAGCTGGGAATATTTTCTTTACTTCTCTGTACATAGCCATATTGTCCAATATTCATTCACGTGTGTGAGGACATATAGCAGATGAGGTCGTGTAATGGTCCTGAAGTGAGATTTGTCTTGGCGGACTTCAATTCCCAACAGCCATCGGTTGGCAAAGCCCGGACAGTCAGTGACAAATGTTCCCCATCGATGCACAAGGTTGTATGGATGCGTGGTAACAATGGTATGGAACTTCTTTGAAAATAATCCTAAAATGCAAGGATTATTATAATATGGCTCTCTCGAAGACTTTATCATTATCTTACACGTTTTAAAAGGATGTTTCTTGCATGCTAATTCCGATCGATAAATATCTTTAATAATTTCACGACTCTGTATAATCAAAATTTATATAGTACCCTAAATCAAGCATTCTGTATTTGTTTCGTATGAGTGTTACAATACATATTTTCTTCAGTTCAATAGTTTGATAGGATATATGTAAGTAATTATATAAATCTCAGTTTAAGATTTCTTACAGTGTTTTTGCAAGCGTATATGTTCATATACAGATGACGCCAAATCATTGATAATATTTAAAATATATCATATAAACCGAGTGCATTTATGTGTGTTTGTATGAAATTATCTTTCAAGAAGTCTTTCATGAAAAGAGAGACATATTTGTTCATCTTCTGTAAGCTCGGTTAAAATGAACATATATCAAACAATAACATAATGTTGACAGCAGTCCAAAATTCAATCATAAACAATGAGGGCGTCAAACAGAAATAAAGGTTTTAAGGTCCCTATTTAATCTTCTTGTGTACAAATATAAAAACTCTTTTTCTTTATATCATTACTATTGTTTGTCTGTAAAGTGCTTAGAGACATCGTCGATGTATTAAGCGCTATATAAACGCGGAATATTATTATTGTTATTATTGTTTTGTCGTTGGTGTTGTTGTGGTTGCCAGTATATGTAAATATTCATGAAATTCATTTCTGGATTTTGTGCAGATATATGTTTTAATCATTAAAACAAATCAATACATGTTTTACGATTGACTTTATGTCTACAAAAATCAGGTCTCATGATCGTATTGTGAAGTGTTAAATTCTGACAAGGCATGAATGAATAAGGTTTTGGTCTACACATGCATATGAATTCCGATATTCATTCAACAAACACACCCCCAGAAAGCGGGTACAAAACGGGCATCGCTTACACAAATGGTTACTGTGCTAATGTTATTGTTTTATTTCAATAGAACAGATGTTTTACGAAATAAAATATCTATGATTCTTGGCTCTGAATCTATCTTGATCAGTCCGTTTTTCACCAACCTCACTTACTTGTAAAATTCAAATCGATTTTCTTTTAAATCAGCGACCTGACGTACATGTGCTATCAAACTACCTGGTCTATTGTGTAAATGTACAATTTTAAACCGGTAGAGCTTACATATTATATTAAAGAAGAAATATAAATGTATTAAACCACATGCGTACAAATTCGAAAATGAACTTATTAAAGTTGAAACAGCATTTTCTCACATAACACTTCTATCAAAACTGTTTACCATATTAATTAGAAAAAACACGTCTATATGAAATATTAATAAGTGTAAAATATATCTGATATCGTTTTCAACGTAATATTTTTGCCTTCACACTAAATCATTTGCTTTTATTTAGGAAGATCACTAAGTAGATATTCTAATCTTGAAATGTCAGTCGTTATCACTCATTTTCAAAAGACATATCATAAATATGCTTGTCCTCATAGCTACTATAAGAAAAAAATTGCCTGCTAAAATTGATTCGATACAATATGGTATAGCAAACTCAATTAAACACTTATTTCCTTAACCATTAAAACTATATTGATTTGCTTAAAGCATAAACAATTTAAGAGTCTGTAGAGAGGTATGGATAATAATAAATACAGAAAACGGTTTTTGGAGAGTGTGTACTTTAGTCTTAATTATCAACGTTTTTGTATTTGTCCAGTAATTTCAAGGCCTGATAATAGAGTATGAGTCAAGCCCTGAGTGTCAGGTAATGCTTGTGTTTCTACTGGGAATTTAAAGTTTGGTGTTTAGTATCAGCGGAGCCTTACGTGTCAGGTAATGCTTGTATTTGTACAGAGGTATTAAAGCTTGGTATAGATTACTAGTCAAGCCTTGAGTGTCAGGTAATTCTTGTATTTGTACAGAGGTATTAAAGCTTGGTGTAGAGTATCAGTCAAGCCTTGAGTGTCAGGTAATTCTTGTATTTGTACAGAGGTAATTAAGCTTGGTGTAGAGTATCAGTCAAGCCTTGAGTGTCAGGTAATTCTTGTATTTTTACAGAGGTATAGAAGCTTGGTGTTTAGTATCAGTCAAGCCTTGAGTGTCAGGTAATTCTTGTATTTGTACAGAGGTATTAAAGCTTGGTGTAGAGTATCAGTCAAGCCTTGAGTGTCAGGTAATTCTTGTATTTGTACAGAGGTATAGAAGCTTGGTGTTTAGTATAAGTCAAGCCTTGAGTGTCAGGTAATTCTTGTATTTGTACAGAGGTATTAAAGCTTGGTGTTTAGTATAAGTCGAGCCTTGAGTGTCAGGTAATTCTTGTATTTGTACAGAGGTATTAAAGTTTGATGTAGAGTATCAGTCAAGCCTTGAGTGTCAGGTAATTCTTGTTTTGTACAGAGGTATTAAAGATTGGTGTTTAGTATTAGTCAAGCCTTGAGTGTCAGGTAATTCTTGTTTTGTACAGAGGTATTAGAGCTTGGTGTAGAGTATCAGTCAAACCTTGAGTGTCAGGTAATTCTTGTAGTTGTACAGAGGTATTAAAGATTGTTGTAGAGTATCAGTCAAACCTTGAGTGTCAGGTAATTATAACAGTTTGTCCAAAGTGTTTAAAGCTTAGTGTGGGGGTATTAGTCAAGTTGTGTTAGGGCTTCAGTTGGTGGGGAGTATCAGTCAAGCCCTGAGTGTCAAGTAATTCTTGCATTTGTCCAGTGGTTTTAAAGTAAGTTCATCAAGCATATCAAGGCGCTGAGACTGGTTCAAATGAAACTCAAACCGTTGCAGGAGTTTTCCAAGGATCACCCGTGCTTCGATCTAAAGAAAAGAATAACACAAATATTAAAAGGTGTGCTACTTTTCATTACTACTGCATATTAATATGTCTAGAAAATTACATCATATCGTTGTTTTTTTCGGAATCATTCTTCATTCAATGTTTTAATCTTAGTGGAATGATGATAGACAACTTAAAGTTTTGACATCATTTAATCATGAAGGTTATTCATTAAATAATTTTTGACAGCTTACCATGGCAAACTGCTGACCGATGCAAGAACGTTGTCCAACAGAGAACGGGATATATGCGTAAAAGTGTCTTGGTCTGAATAAAAGAAAACAAAGGGGAAAATTATATGGAATTTTTAAATATTTTTTTTTTACTAAAATTGATACTTATTAACGATATGCTACCCAGTGAGACTATAGCATGATAACAATGTATTCTTTAAAACGGTGGTGGATACTCTTGCATCCGTCATCTAAGTTTCGTATGTTCAACCAAGCTATTTTATGTTGGTCAACGGTCTAAGGTTCCATCGCGGTATCACCAAGGCAGCACTGTTCATCAGGAATTGGTCGTTGTACAATGCACGAATTGCCCTGATGTTATACCATCATGTATATAGCTGTAGCGTCTGCACAACCATTGTCTTTCCATTGAACCAGCCATGCACCAATCGTTTTAGGTGGCTGTTCCATGATTCCATGAATCTATTCATGCAACCAAAGAATTTGCAGTTTTGGTGAATATGGAACTCCGCTGGTTTCTCGAACACACTGAGACAAAGATTATCTCCCACAGACAGTGCAGAAATGCTCTTCAGTAGAGTAGCACATGCATGCAAGAGTGTTAAAGTAAAAGTGAAAGGGGTGTTTCTAGAGAAGAAAGGTAACTGCAGAAAATGCAGTGTAGCTAGGGACGGTTTAAATTCTCCTTATCAATCTAAGAATGCACCGAATCAGTGGTAAGATCCAAGAAAATATATTTTCTTCAGCTCAATACCCCCGTATACGTTAGATTTATCTTCTGTAAAATAAATATATCAATGATTAGATAAACAATCGTAACATAATGCTATAGAGCAAAAGCAATATGATTTATATCAAATTTATTTAAAATGAAAGTTTCATAATTACCAAAAATAATTGGGCATCAACAATGAATCATGAGTGATCATTTTCAACCAGTCAATTTTCGACCAGTTAATAATAGTTAAATTAAGAACGGACGTGATAATATAAAGAGGGTACACAAACATAATGCTAAATGGTTAATGCTTACAGATTTTCGTCCTCTTGTGGCTTAAAGCGATCAGGGTTAAAAAGGAGAGGGTCATCGAAATATTCTTCCATCCTCGACATCACTACAGATAGAACCTGCAAGGAATGGTGTTTAAAAAAGAATGGATACTGTACTTTATATTTTCATAATATTATCACGGTAATGGGTATCACTCCGTCAAAGGTACTTTTAAAGTTGTGTCTAGTCAACAGCTTTAGCTGAAAGGCTACACAATGGGTGATTTTAATTTGTACACAGGAATACAGTAATCCACAAACAAATATTCCCTAAAGTCACGTAATATTTGCAACTTATTGAAAGAAAGAGTGAACTGCATCTGGTTACTCCCAATGCGTTAGCACTGGTCCAGACAATGAATGGAATATATGTTTGGTTAGAGTTGATATGTTTTTTCCTCATTTAGTATCCCACATTTTCTTCTTCTTCAGTATCCGACTATTTCAGTCATCCAATTTCATAATAAACTATGTACTTACGGACACACTAACACCTGCTGGAATCGTCATGTCTTTATAAATGACCGGATGTGCAGTGACACGAGTAGTGCCTATGACAGGAGGGTACAGTCTCAGAGTCTCTTTGAAAACCTTGCAAAAAAAAGCAAAACACGAGTCCTTCTTTAATATGGGGAGATATTGTACTTTATCAAAAATCTTTATTGCTAAATTAATCTTTAATGCACATTCTAAATTACATTTCTTCTTTAAAGAAATACATTGTTCGTCATAAAGTAATTCTTTGCATTTCAAAATGAACTATTTCTTTCTTGAATTAGACTTGAGATTCACTCCGGACCGCTTCTCATTCCCAGATGGCCTGTAGAATCCAGTTCACAAAACAATAATTGGTTACTATTCAAATCACCATAATTGTCATGCCCTATCTACCATAGGATGGAGCTGGCGTCGCCCCCATGCACCCCCCCCCCCCGTCGCCCCTTCTTTTGAAAGCTGATTAAAAAGACAATCATTACGACTTGCAGTGTGTTTACGTCAATCGGGACTGCCTGGGTATATTACGTCCCTCCCCTTAAACCTGCCCTGTATCTGGGTACGCTACAGATATTGAACACGGAATTGGATGCAAATCTGTGTCTACTTACCCCTAGTACTTACCCTCATCATATACTCGAGTTTGGCCAGATCATCATACTCGACATATGGTTTCTGACCTAACACCTCGTCCACCTCTGCTTGAACTCTGTAAGAAAAGGAAACCGATACATGTATTATAATTCCCTTGTACACTGTCGCTCATAAAGGTGGAATATTTTGTTTTTATTCCAATTTATGGAGTTATTTTAAAAATAATTTAAAAATAATAGATCTAGATAATAGTATACATTCTCAGATTTTATTGAATAATAATTTGCCAATGTGTGTTTTGCGTGACTGCTAAAGCATGTGTATGCTACTATGCTTATCAACTAGGGGACCTATGCCCTTAAGTCATAAATGACAGTAATGATAATTAATGCCCCACAAAAGGGCACAAATATAGCACATCGACACGGTTTTGATCCTGGGGCCTCACAGTTACGAGGCCATTGCTTTGTCACTGAACCATGACTGTACGCAGCGGGGGCTAGGGTAGGGGGCAGTTTCCATAAATTTAAAAAAAAACACAGAAAATGCAATAAATTTTCAATAATTTATTGCATTTAACCCCGGTTCCCAACATAAACAAATCTTCTGTGTGCCCATGCCTCGAGCCATAATGCATGGCCGTCCAGAGGTTTTTTTTATGTTGGGGACCGGGGTAAAATGCAATAAATTATTGAAAATTTATTGCATTTTCTGTTTTTTTTTAATTTATGGAAACTGCCCCCTACCCTAGCCCCCGCTGCGTACAGTCATGGTTCAGTGACAAAACAATGGCCTCGTAACTGTGAGGCCCCAGGATCAAAACCGTGTCGATGTGCTATATTAGTGCCCTTGTGTGGGGCATTAATCCTCATTACTGTCATTCATGACTTGAGAGCGTAGGTCCCCTAGTTAATAAGCATGGTAGCATACACATGCTTTAGCAGTTCCGCAAAACACACATTGGCAAGTTATTATTCAATACAATCTGAGAATGTATACTATTATTTATATCTATTATTTTTAAATAATTTTTAAAATAATTCCATAAATTGGGGTAAAACTAAAATATTCCAACTTTATGAGCGACAGTGTACATATACAGAGTGTCCCTGAAAAATATGAAACCCAAGCTTGTTTTAAGGAAACGAAGTGAGGCAGTTGAACAAATGTTATTTTGCCTCACCAAAGATGATTTGTACCTGTGTGATCTTTCTATCATGATTATGACGTCATAAAGGAAGGTGAGAATATGAGCTTTTAGATGATGATGAGTATTTTCAATTATAATGGATAATCCCAATCATTTCCTTCCCTCTACAAACCATAATGAACCAAATAAAGTAGCAACCATTTTCGCTTAAATTGGACGATCGAGTTTTTGACACACTTCAGACGATCTGAAATAGGTGATGTGTGATAACTGATTTGGTACCCTACGAACATGACGCAAGAAAAGAAAATGCATACATTAACAACAACAAAATACTAACTGGGAACCAATAAACTTAGTTTCTCTTTTTTCAGAGACACACTGTATGTTAAAAAAACAAATCTCTTCTTTATGTAGCGATACCCAATGTTTAGACATAACAAATTTACGATTTTAACTTTTTCTTAGATAGAATGCCGAGTGCATTAAGAATACCAATTACTTGATAAGAAACAAAGTTACCCAACAGAAGCGAAGTCCTCAAAACGTAAATGCTTCAAAGCATAATAATTTGTTAACCCTTTCTTTATTTCCAGTGATTTTTACAGGAATGTTTAGATTCAGTGTGAATGTTAACTCAGGAACAGTAAGTTCGATATGATGTCTCGAAAGTGAAAGCACCCCTAACAAAAATGGCAAATTTGAATAACCCACAATGATTAAAAAATATATATCACTGTGAAGTTCCTCGCTACTCAAGAACAGAGCACAGCAAGGGAACAGGGGAGGTTCATTTTCTCCAAACTCGTACACAGATTCTTTCAATCCATTAGTTCCTGATAAGGACCTAGCTCATGGTTATCAATTTGTATTTTAATCGGTATCTGAATAAGCAGTCTTTAACACTGATGCTTTCGGTAAAGTTCCATTAAAATACTGACTTTAAATGTCGCTGGTTTGCGGAGAGTCCATTTGTTTTGACAGAAAAAACTTACTTCTTTGCCACATCAGGATTTCTACCAAGTTGTTGTATTGTAAACGCCAGTAAGTTGCTCGTTGTCTCTTGGCCTTTCAGTATACAGAATGAGATGGATAAAAATATGATTAACAATCAACAATTGATGAAAAGGACACGGGAAAAGTGCAAAAGTTGGCTTTATGAAAAGACAGAATTCATAACTCTTCATAATTAGTTCATAGATGATGACAGAGTTATGACATTCTTTGGAAATATTCCTTGAGAAATTATTCATACCGCAGTCCGTAAGAAATCTCTAGTATTAACGGCTGAATTACTTAACCACATGTAAATGAACATTCCGCATGACAATTAACCTCTGACTTATTCGAAAGTATTTCGATTAGGACAGTATTAAAACAAATAGTCATGCTTGCATCACTAGTAAGTTAGATTAATGTAATGGTTTATTGTATGGACTCCCTGACTCCCAAATATGGTGACCGCAACGGGTCAAAAAGAATTGTGCAAGACTGATTTGTGGTTGTTTGTTCCAAATTCTCATGGACCACCCCTCTTTTGAGAGATCTACTATTTAAGATTCCGTTGATTGTCTATAAAGCGCCCATCGGTCGAGCCCTTGGTTATATTGTTGAACTGTTGAAACTCAAGACTCACAACCTGCGCAGCTCCTAACATACTGTATTATGGCATTAATTAGATTAATTACCATTAGAAATGATGAAATCACCTATGTTATTTACTTTAACATCAAAACTAAAAGCGCATCTTTCATTTAAAGGGAACCAAAACCTTCATACTAAGTTACTTTTATCAAATTTCATGTTTTTTCTTCTTTCTTGTGATTGAGATAATCTACTCCCCTGAAAGCAAGATATAGAATGCAAAATGATATTCTACTTCACATATTATGAAGTCGGATCAAGAACACAAATAAATACGAAGAAAACGAAAAAATTGTGGAATTTTATGTACAAAAGGCATGGAGAGTTGTCCACAGATGATGTTATCAAATTGAATACCGTCCTCTAGTGACTAGTCATTTAAAAAAGCTCTAACTTCCTTATTCCTTGCCCGATTTTGTTCAAATTTTCACAGATTTTATTCAAATCTTTTAAACTTTACAATAAAAGTAACTTAGTATAAAGGTTTTGCTTCCCTTTAACTTAATGTTGTAGATTTAAACACATCACGAGCTCTTCCAGCGCAGAAAAATATATTTGCATGATGTCTTCGCTCTATAAAATTATATTTGTATTATTATCATTATTATTACTATTATTACTATTTTTATTATTATTATTATCATTATTATTATCAAGAATACCAAAGTGGAGCAGGTTTGTCCAATCGAACTGGTTACCCTGATGTAGTAGTATGTTATTTATCCATGTTTAACTTACTTTCACTTAGGGGAAATTGATTATCTTTTTTTTTCTGGATGAATGAAGAAAACTTTTCCTCATTGACTTTGTACTAACTTTATAACATCACCCATCGACATGTGTTGTGACTCAATCCCATAAGTGATTAGGAGTAGTAGTTACAATTCTCAGGAGCAGAAAAAAGTTTACCTGCAAAGAAGATTGTAACAAATTCATCGATCATGTTCTCCATTTGGAAGTCCTTATCACCCACCAGATCGTTGGCGCAATCGAGGATCACAGTGAGGATGTCGTTGGGTACATGATCACCCCGTTGACGGGCGGCGATACGTTCTTCGATCTGTTGTCGACCGGTCTCCCGAATGAGATTCACCGCCTCTCGCGTTTCCTGTCGTGTTTTCCGACTCTCGCTTCGTGGGTCAAACTTTAAATGCACATCAAATATATCGGCTAGTCAATAAACATGATGAGGGCAGTGTTAGAGGCAAACACATCATCAGCCTTGTGCAATTATTGAAAGCCCCCCCCCCCCCCCATCCCTCCACAAGGTAGGTAACAAAGCACGGCCCTGTTTTCATGAAACTTGTAGTAATCAAAAACAAGTTACAATATGATATAATCTACTGAAGCTCCTGCCTCTGGTTTGCTATGAGTAAATTTGTCATTAATGTGATGAGTTTGTCATTGATAACGAGTTTTATGAAACAATTCACGGATATTTGACTGTGTGACAAATTTCATCATTTAGATTTGTGCAATTTAATTATGGAACTGTCACTTTTCTAAGAGCTTCAACACGCTACCAAAGGTTTACTTATCAACTTCATCATGAAGCAACCAAATAAAACGTTTTCATTCAGTCAATCGTCGGTTTATTGGTCGTACACCCCAACCACTCCTGTTATTATCAAACATCATGAAGCAACGAAATAAAATGTTTACATTCAATCGTCGGTTGTACCCTCTAAACATTCGAAATGGTAGACCTAAAGTGACGCCCTATACTTACAGAATACCATGGTTTATCTATTATAGTTTGCATGCCTCTCAAGCCCAACGTTACGGCTGCAGGAAAGGGGCAGCTAGGATCTCCCACGGCTCCCGTTGTCATACTAAATGATACCTGACAAATAAAGCAAAAGAAAGAGACGGAATCAGACGACGACAGAGAGGAGAGATAGAGAGAGAGAGAGAGAGAGAGAGAGAGAGGGGGGAGAAGAGATAGGGAGGAAAGAGAGAGCGAAAGCGAGACAGAGACACAGACAGACAGAGAGGATAATCGAGAGAGAGGGGAGGATAGAGGGACATAAAGGGGGGAAAGATAGAAGGGGGACGCTGCATTCTAATTACATTTTTCCCCTTGAAAAAAACATTTCATAATTCATGTTTTAACACCAATTTTATGATTGTATATATTGCAGTAATAACATGACTATTGTATTGAAAATCAGTTATTAGCTTTTGCTTGATTGAAAGTTTTCGGGGGGCATCTTGCCCCTCCCCTTGGATACACAAGTGTTGCATGAATAAACGGAAAATTAGTATTTACATTTGCGATGACGTCAAGTGTAACGTTGTTGAGTTCGTTGAGCATTTCGACCTCATTCCTTCCGTCAGCTTTATCCCGGAGATGCTCACAAAGTTTTTCTGATTCCGCGTTGAATTTCTCCATCATACCCATCAAGTATCTAGGTAGGAATTCGGTCAAACACGTGAACTGTCAGTGTAACCCTTTTCTATTTGAGGTACCCCGTCTTATAACATTTGTAAAGAGTTCGGATTGATTCAAATCGATTGCAAATAAGCTTATAATTTAAAATCAATCGCAACGCTATATTCTGTAACATTTACATTTGAAATTAAGTATATATTGTCCATTCTGAAATTTGTTTTGAGCTGGTAAAAATGTACAAATGACTTTAATATACGTTTGTCACATATCGATTGGATGTCTTTAGGTCGATTTTAAACAATCGTTAGTCTATATGAGACATGGATTTGGGTGTAATAGCCCGAACGGTTCACCATGATCAAGTTCAATGTAACATTATTTAGACGGTCAATCGGAGGGGATGAGGGGATTTACAATGGTCAATGCTTATAATGAAATGATGTGGAATTTCGAGTTGAATCGGCATCTTGAAAATGAGTATAACATATAAAAGACATTACACCTAAACTACGGACCCTCTTTTAACAAATTCCTAAAACAATGAAATAATGTAGTTCCATGAAGTATAACGTACAGACATTACGTCATACTTACTTACGTCTGAAGGCAGGATTCATGATGGCACGCCTATGGAACCATTTTTCATGGTTTATTTCCGACACCAGACCATTGCCCATGAAACGAGCTCCAAACACGTACTGGAAATTTTTGTAGAAACTCTGGGGCTTTATGTGACGGCTATTCAGAAGCAATTCCTGAAAACAGAGGAGAGACAGATGCATGTAAAAGGGAGTCGCAAGAATCATCAAGGAGAATTATGACAATTTGTGTAGTATTTTTTATTACACATCAATTTTATAGGCGCTTACTTTCATGATGTTGGCAATTGAAGTTATTGAGTGCCACATTCAATTAATGTCCTACGAAGATTCACTCTAGTAGAATATTTATAGCAAATTCATTACTATTTTAACAACATGAACAACATCATAATTGTGCACTATCATTTTCAGGCTTGTAAAAAAATGTAGTCGTATCTAGTATCAATCGTACCTTTACGATTTCAGGAGCAGATGCAAAAACGTGACCTCTGGCAAACACTCGAATCCAGAATACCGGCCCATGGTCCTGAGAACTATTAGAAATAAATATTACATAATAATCATGAAAAATATATGTTTTCTTCACTTTAATGTATGTGTATAACATAATTGAAAAAGGAAGGTATGGTCTCGTATGAAGCGAGGCAGGCGTACTTTGACAACCCACTAATCTTCTTTTCCACCCCCATATTTATAAAAAATCATTTCTTTTTACAAATATTTACAGCATACATTGATGCAAACTTCAGTGGATATGGACGTGGACTCGGCTTTCCATATGCCCATGCTTATATTTATTAAGCATGAAACTTATATTTCTCTGATTCTTTTCAAAGTAACTGTGATAATTTATTATGGGCGTTCCCAACTCAAGCTATGCTTTCCGGGTTTTCGCCTCCTTCCGTATCTGAATTATTTACTGTATACTCTATGTTGAAATAATTGTTACATATATCATGTATATATATACATTTGTGTTTCATATTGTACTGTTGAGAAGGAAATAAATGTTAATAAATACCAACAAAAAAAAAGTAATTCGCTAGTAAAGGAACATAATAAAAAAATACATGTACAACGTTAAGATCATTAAAAGTGAACCACGATCAATCATCATATGAATATTCAATTATTGCAATGTTGTCATTCTTCACATGTACACGTATGAATCACGCTTATCTATTTTTATCTAAACTATAAACGAAATGTTTCATTCCCTCATATAAAATACACTACTTGATACAGCAATATTGGATGTGATACTCACAGTGTGTAGATAATAAGGCCGATGGGTTGACCCAGCTTCTTCTTAGCTTCAAAGATGCTAAATATATTTCCGAATAAGAAACTGAAAGTAAACAAACCGGAAAAGGTAAATCAACTTTGTTGTACAAACGACTGTTTCTGATACGTTTAAAACAGGAAATCGTTTGTTGAGTGGATTTTAAAACATTCAGGGATCAGTTTCCGACCCGGGTTCCACAAACTGAGTTATGATTATTCAATTGTGTTTAATAGTCAAACAGGGGCTTACAAATTACATGCTATAATGAGGAACTGTACTCGGGTTAGTACACAGGCCGACAATCATACAAAATAGGTATCAAAGCACGTATAATAACACAGTCAATGGACCAACAACTGGGGCATACATGTATATGTTCATGCATGCCAATAGACGGTTTATATTCCGCAGTTCATATGTATGCATACTTAGCCACCGAAATCGCCCTTTGGCACTCATGATAATTATGACGGTGAAATTCGTTCCCAAATCGGACCGTTTGGAGCCAGAAAGATGTTAAGTTTTGTATACCTTAACATAGAGTTCACGCCCTTATGGCTCCAAAGAACATGATATATATTTTAGGAAACCAGGATATTTTACTGAGTCCTATGGTTTATAAGCTTATGGATGATATGGTGGTATATGGTAATACTGCTTTAGCTATGTTACATATTTCTCCTCCTACCTATCTCTCTTTGGTCCTGGGAGGTCACTGAACTTCTGCTCTGTACGAAGAATAGCAGCCACAAAGACAAGCAGTCCGATTCCAAGCAGGCAGGCAAACAACCCCAACACATATACCACAATCACAACAAACAGGCCCATGGCTTCAATATGAATCGAATGATGATACTGTATTATATACTCCCCCAAAATCATACACATGCGTGAGATACTGAGACGAGCAGTCTAATAAAACTCGAGAGAGAGAGAGAAGGAATAGTACCTACAGTTGTAATATAAAAGCTTTACATGCATGAATTTCGATCTAGTCGGATGAAGCCTGCGCAGACAAACAAAATGTCCACGTACAATTGTCCATTCAAACTGAACATTCCAATGACTAGAGAACAATAATATTCCGAGCTAGAAATATTAAAAGGATTGTTGACCGTATGGGGGCAGGGTACACTTTGGACGTGTTGCAAGCATGCAGCTGTGTGATCTGTACAGTTATGTCGAGCTGCTAGCAGACCTATATCTACCAAGTTCATGGTATAGTCTCGAAAAGGGCGCAAAATTGATATTTATTTTTTTAAATTGTTATTATTTTTATTTCTGCATTTTTCCAAATATACTATAACTGAATAACAAAGAACATATAAGTGTACGGTATAATACAACATATACAAACAATAATTTCTTCATGTCAAAATGTTATTTACATAATTATGTACATATAATAACGAAACTTAATATTTCCATAACATATTATCATAAATTTGAAGTATTATCCGAACTATTCTGTTGGAAAAGTGCAGGAGACCACAATCATGAGCAAAGCTTGACAAGGATGGCGGCCTCAAAAAAAAAAAAAAAAAAAAAATCATAAGGTAAAACTTAAAATGAAAAAGTGATATGTTGTATAAGAGTAGGTGTTTCACCTTTCGTTGAGTACACATATTTTATTCATCATTATGATTTATGAATCAGTATTGCTTTTCCTTTTTATCCTCAATAGCCCAAGAGACATAAAGAATATAGATCGCCATAGTTACTACGGTGTAAAATGGCTACGGCGTAGAAATACTTAAATGTTGTGTACAAAAGTACGGGTATCATCCGACTTCTTCAAGTCTAAATTTGGAGGGAAATTCCAGCTGCTAGAGTGAAAACTTGACATTTTTAGACCCAGGGTAGGGTTGAACTAAATTAGGAGAATACGGAACAATAATGATCTACCAACAATCTACTCTCCAATCTACACATAATATTTTATTCCATTTGTATACGACATTAATATTATTTATGTGTTATGTTATCGATCTTGTGTTATACTGTTATATTTTATGTAATCATGCTTGATACATTATGTTTTACTTGTTATTATTTTTGTTGTTAATAAACTCAAACTCAAACTCAAACTCAAACTCAAACTCAAACTCAAACTCAACTCCTCCCAGGAAGCGTTATTTTTTTCGGCGGCACAGATTGGGGTTAGGTGCATGTTGAGCCTATGAGAAAGTTTAGGGTTAGGGTTAGGGTTAGGGTTAGGGTTAGGGTTAAATCAAGACCTCTTTTTTAAAAAAAAGGCCCAATCTGTGCCGCAGAAAAAAATGACGCTACCAGGAAGCTGTAATGGAATGAAGCTCAAACTTCTCCAGTGTAACTTCCTTTCTCTAGGTCTATACACACATCTGTATGAGTCAGAGGTCTCATTGTACAATCCACTGACCTACTGACCCACTGATCCACTGTTTCCGTGTCGCGCGCCAAAATATCACACACCCTCAACGCTAAAACGAAGACATTCTAAACCTCATTCTCGAGGGTAGCGCGACCTGGATGCGTGTTAGGGACTCGGAGGACAAATATGATTGAAGAATAACAAAATATAAAACGGGCAGAAAATGGACTACATACAGTATGATACCGCAACGTATTGTACCAGGATAGCTAATTAATTACCACTTCTGGGTTTCACGAATTACATACCAGCAAATACGCATTGATTTCTTTCTGAGATGAACGGTATAGAGTGCAAATCTTGACTTTCTCAACGGGCTAGATTTGTATAATGTGAGTACTTTTCTGTATTCCTTCATTACATGATTTCAGTCTGTTCAGCTCTCACAGTTATATTACATCAACATGTATGTGTTTATGTGAGAGATGGCCTGCAGTCTACCACATGCATGGTTTTCTATCATTTTTACCCTTCTCTGCTGCATATCTTATTGTAATCTTACATGCCTACGAGTAATTTGCGTTGACTAGCTTGTTATTGCCTGTCAGTGTTTGGTGAATTCAGGTCCGGGTTCAATTTTTTTTAAATTCATTCTTAATCCAATGTAAGTCAATAGGACGAGTATATGTGGATATACATGTCACAGTCACATTTGTGTTTAATTACAGTATAATTATACAGGGCCTTGCCTCCCCGAAAAAGATAACAAATATTTACCAAAGGACGCTTTGATTTCAATATTGTTATTGTTTACCTAATATATGTAGGGACGGATGTGCTAGAACAGCTAGGTATCGAAAGTAAGCATTAGTCACTACCTAAATTTAACATGTAATATCCGTTTGTACTTCCGAGGTTATCCCGGTGCGTTGTGTGTTGCAGGGTATGTCGGTATACTTCCATGTGTCAAAAAAAAATCCGTTCTCTGTACAGCGGGTTTCCCGTTGCAAATAATAAAGTGCAGAGGCAGCCCTCCCGTGGGCCGGGGAGGGGCGGGAGTTTCAGTACTTCTACTTTTTCAAGTACCACGAAAGGTCCCTTTTACGTAGGAAAAGGGCCTCCTATTACTTCAGATAAATGTCCCTTAATAAATCTGATAATTGCCACTTTTACTTTGACAAGCGCCCCATTTTACCTCTGATGAGTGCCCCTTTTATTGTAATACCTGCTCCCTTTCCTTTCTAATCAGTGCACTTTATCCTTCTGATAAGTCCTTCTTTTGATTTTAAATTATGTGCCTCAATTATAATCTGATAGGAACCCCTTTTCCTTTGTAATAGGTTTCTCTTTACCATAATCATTAATGCCCCTTTTAAGGTACGAGAAGTGCCCCTCACCACCTCTGATAGGTGCCCCCTTTACCTCTGATAAAAACGGCTTTTTCATATCATAAGTACCCCTTCTCTGATAAATGCCCCTATTAAATCCTGATAGGCGCCCCCTTACCTTCGGCGAGTGCCCATTTTCCTTTTTGATAAATCCCCCTTTATCATTCTCACAAGAGCTCCTAATTGCTTTCTAATAAGTGCCCCCTTTTCCTTTCTCCGCAACATGTTCCCTTACATAAAGCTACTGAGAGCAATTTTTTTCTCCAACCCCCCCCCCCCCGATCTCGCTCACATTTATAGTCGATGTAATTATGTAACTTATCAAAGGTATGTCCATTCTGTCATGATGAGACTGTGTTTAAGCCCCATCAGGATTGATTTTTCCTCTTTAAAAGATCTAATTGGTCACAATGGGACTTCACGAATCTTACAATTTGCATATTCAAAGTATCACACCCAACGGTAAATTATGATAATTAAGCAGTATCTTGAACATGGGAAAGAGAGAAACAAATATATATCTAAAATATCTCTGATATTGTATTTATCACAATATGGGGTGTATACCAATGTCTGAAAATGTTTCGCTGTTGTGTTTTCCTTTGAACGTGCCCCCGACCCCCCCCCCCCTTTTTTTTCCGGAAAGCGCTTTTTTTTTGGTGCCCCCGATTCAGAAGACGCTCCATCGTCCCTGAATAATTGATCAAGGCGCTTGTATTACTGTCGCGGCCATTGGATTCAATTACTATTCTGTAATAAATACACTGTACTTCCTGCACTCCACCCCCAAGGACCTTGTGAAAGTGAAACATGAACTTACTGGGAAGATTGTTCAAATCAGTCTCTCTATAGGCCTACTCAATGAGTGTTGCTTCCTCTCTGCATGCTCAGCAGCAAATTGAGCACATTAAATAAAGTGCAAATTATCGGCCATTTTAAACCTTCTGCCTTCCATAATGGCAGATGCACGTTGGCAATATAATCAACTGCCAGCTTTTTTTCGACTTGGAAATGACAAAAAACAAAACTGAAATCTGAAAGTCTCCTCATATACAGACACAACCAGTGTGTTTATATTCATCACCTTGAAGCAGCACTTACACTGGAGAAAAGAATAAGAAGTACTTCTGCGCTACAGGAAAAAATTAATTAGTGAAATTTGCATTATTATTACAATTGGTTCTGAGATTATTTATCTATGAAACAGTAATCATTCACCTCTATTTATACCGTATATTGCTCGACAAGGGGTTGCAGATTCGTACATAGACTAATACAAAGTGATGGGCCGACCGTTATCATTTCCTGATATTAAATGCTTACCTGAAACTCGTACCTGTATCATGATATTTCATGACAACAATTTTGTTACGTGATCTAGCGATATCATCAACTCCCGCCATGGCATCCTCGTCACCACCTACCCGTGGTTACCATGCCGACGGTGCATCTTTAAGTGACATCCTGCTGATGGAGTTAGCCGAGCACCTCCATCCAAACGATTATCGTCCCCTTGGTGTTCGTCTTGGGTTCAACGAGACCAGACTGTCCCAGATAGAACGATCGCATCTAGGAGTCATCTCTGAATGCATGTATGTCATGCTGACAGAATGGAAAAGGCGAGAAGGGCAGGACGCTAAACCACAACTTCTCATCCAGTCTGTGCGAGAGAGCAAGAACTCCGAAGCTGCTGATTGGCTACAATCAGGTATACGACACAGAGGAAATTGATGTTGATAATAATTTGCACATATCTTACCTAATTTCTTTGTAAAGGATTGTTTTAATGATCATTGAAAAAAGTTGGGATTGATTTTGTGAGTGGTGGTTTTGATATTATCTAATGTAAAGTCAAAGTAAAATAACTTAAACTTCAGAGCCAAGATAATATCAGTAGCATGTTATTGTCTTGAAGTCAGTGGCGTACGACCTTTTTTTAGGTCAGCCATTGGCATATTTTTTTATATTTTTTTATATATAATTAAAAAAAGGGGGGTTCAACCCCCCCCCCTCCTACGTACGCGCCTGCTTGAAGTCATGGGTCAGAAGAATATATACCTGTGACCATATACATACCTATGTCCAGGTTGAAACCATTAGACTCAATGTTAAGGCTTTAAACCGCCCAAAGACAGCCGCCGCATTTTTTTTTATAAATATTTAAATGCTTGTAATGAATGGAAACTGTGCTCAACATAAAACTTGCGCGTATTTACTGGTCTCTGTATTAATAGTATAGGATGAGGAAATGTAAAGCGCATTACACGTTACGTCATCATTCAAAGAAAACACTGCAGTATAGCCGCCTCATATCTGAACGAGCCTTAACATTAGCTTTACAACACACATTTCACCGTGCTTTTCTTAATCAATGCCATATTCTAATTACTACAGAACTTGGACTTTGCAACCCTCCTTTACGGACAATATCAGGTAATATAGCTTTCAGTGATTCTTAAAAACGTACATTATAATTATAGACGTTCTTTTCTTATCCTGTCTTGATATAAACCAACAATTACAATAAAAACGCTGGGTATTTATTTAACTGTCAAATGGGGTATCGTATATTATAGATCGTATATTATATATACCTGATCAAACCGAAAGAGGGATGCAGGTGAAAACTTTCTCTGATAGGAGATACTGCGAACTGAAATTATTCATTTTTATGCAACCAAACTAAAGAATATCTTTATTATTATCCTATTTTGTTTAAAAATCAGTGGCATTTCAGCATAGATGTCGGCTTTTAGAGTATAATAGGCCTAGTTAAATAATGCGGGATAAAAAATGTAAAAGTTAGTGAATCCATGTTTTCAACTTGTTGAATGAGATTTTGATTTTCTTAGTTGAAGATAGACTGAACGAAGGCAATGTGCCCGCCTTACCCGACTGTTTAACCGAGAGACCGGTGGAATTAGCCGAGCTGAGGGGTAAACTGCGTCGAGTAGCCTCCTCCGATAAACCTGGGCGATGGGTGGCGGTGTGCGGTATGGGAGGAATGGGGAAAACTATCCTGGCTAACCAAGCAGTAAGAGATGAGAAACTTGTAGAAGGTTGGTCAATTTTCGAAAGTAGAAGAAAACAATGATCATATACTCTGTGTGTATTGTTGCCCCTCTTACAGGTACATTTCTAAAAGTATCGGTTATATGACAATTGCTCCGGCGACAATTGCCTCGCGTCATTACAGTAACTGAATTCGTACTATACCTCCGGATCAAACACGATACCTAACCCTTTCCCTAAACCTAAACCTATTATCACCAACAATTGCCACCCTAACCATAATAATAAAGGCAGGAGCAAATCTCATACCTTCTTTCAATTTAAGAAGAAATTTGATTTAATTAAGACTTCAATTCTCCCAACTTTGTTAAATGTGTTCATCTACATAACCAACCTGAGTACATTTCAGACTAAATGTAGTAATTTCTCTGGAGTAACATAATCTAGTATCACTTTTCTGTTCAACATTTTCCAGTGTTTACCACTATTTATTGACGGCCACGTGCCACCAGATTGTTTATGTTAATATGTAAAGCGAATTTAAATGTTCATGTAATGCTCTGTATTAAAGTACAAAAAAATAATGTTATGTTTCGAACATGATCAGAACTTTTCTCAGATGGTATCTTCTGGATGTCGATGGGAAACGTGAAAGAAGAAAACAGTATCCCAGATCGTCTAGAGACACTATGCCGAATCTTCGACAGTAACCTATCATCAGCACCTTCTCCTCCTAAGACACTGGAACAATGGAAGAATCTCTTAACTAAACTCATAAGTCAACGATATCCCAGGTAAGTAGATAAGTGTGTAAGATAATAATACCAGATGAAAGAACATTCTCATTGAAAGCTAAAAATTATGTCGTGGTTTAGTGGATACGTCACCGGGCTGTAGATCACATGGTTCGCGGTTAGAGCCCCTCCGCGGCACTAATGTCCTTTAGTAAGACATTAGTCTACATTTGCCTCTCTCCACCCAGGTGAGATAAATTGGTATCTGGTAGGAATAACTTCCTTGAAATGCAAGAACGCCATGATGGCAGCCATGCTAAACCCGGGGTAATAATTATGGAGCGTCAGGAGTATCAAGTCTAACAGACATGAGTGTCCTACAAAACCCTCTTGTATATCATTATTACAATACCCAATGACTTACAAGATGAGACAAAGCATGGAGATACAGATGGGTGGATTAAGGTGTTAGGCTTAGGCTTTTCTGACGAAGTGGTCTTTTAGGTACCCATGACCAGGGTAACATTGCCAATAAACTGCCCTATACAGTGTGAGTCAAAAAAAAGTTTACACCTAGAAAATTGCTGATTATTTAAAAAATCATCGATGAACATTAAACTGTTATATGTCTTATGAAAGAGTGTTTTATCATTAATCATTTGGTACCATTTTTGTGTGGTATGTGTTCACGCTTGGATGAACAGGAGTCATTGTTTGCGAGAGTGTAAAAATCGTATTGCGCCAAAGTTGCCTATGTGATGTTTCAATAAAACAATTGGGATTTGGGTATTAATTCGGTCTTTGCAGATCCAAATAACACTCCTAACAAAATTAATCATGCCACACATATCAAATATCGAATATCGAATTTCAACGAACATTTGTGCGCGTGTGTGTGGGTGTGTGTGACTTTGCCCTTTGTAAAAAACATATGGAATGCATTTCATTTGATACATTCAATTCATTCTCTCACTCCGCTGATCCCAACATAATACATACTTAAGGCATCACTTTGGCGCAAGTCGATTTTTGCACTCTCGCAATCAATGCCACCTGTTCATCCAAGCGTGAACACATACCACACAAAAATGGTACCAAATGATTTGGGATAAAACACTTTTTCATAAGATGTATAATAATTTACTGTTTATAGATGATTTTTAAAATAATTAGCAATTTTCTATGTGTAAACTTTTTTTTTACTCACACGGTATGTATCTGTTTCATACACTTTCACGCTGAGTATTCTTCGATAAAGTTTAAAGTGATTCAATGGAAAATTCATGCAGAATCGTGACAAACTAATACATTGGTGGTCCAGTTAGCGGTTGTATATGTTCTTTTGTAGGTCTCTTCTGGTTCTGGATGATATTTGGATTCCAAATGTGGTGGCAGCCTTTGATGTACGTTGCACTGTTCTTATGACTACGAGAGACAGCGGGGTGATGAGTCGTGTTTCAGGCAAGACATCAACAGTTTTACTTTACAAAATATAAAAGAGAAGATGCCTAGCAATAGATATAGTTAATCTCTCTATATATTAGTTGGTTTTGAATGAAGCAAGGTTCACTGCTCATCCATCTTAGTATAGTCGTGTGAACACTGGCATCCGTGTGCGATAACTGGCAAAACCTCGTACGATACCACTTGATTTAAATCATTATTGTACATTTCTTCAAATCGGGCTATTATCATTTATAATAATATAGAACTTGATTCCGATCACTGATATATTATGTACCTGTATAAGTGGGATATTTGACAATAGAAAGAAGGTGAAATATATAATTATGGAAACGTGGTAATTACATGTGAGCTGCTTGTTAATTCCACAGGAGATAAAGAGGAACTGAATTTGTCTCACGGTTTGTCTAAAGACCAGTCTATCAAGGCATTATCTGAATGGACTTGCATCCCGCTCGATAATCTCCCTCCCGAAGCCGAGCTCATTCACGGCTTCAGCTGCGGGTCACCTCTCGTCATCTCCATCGTAGGCGCCCTCCTTCGTGACTTCCCTGATCGCTGGCAGTTCTATGTGGCACAGATGGAGGCTAAAAAACTCCAGGATCTCTCATCAGATTCTAGCTACGAGTACCGTAGTGTTTATGATGCAATCGAAATGAGTGTAGAGCAACTGACGACTTCCCAGATCGAGGTTTATTCTTGGTTCGCCGTCTTCGAAGAAGGCATCAAACTTTCGAGTCAGGTGAGTACTTGTAGTGCTTGTCATGATGCTTTGATTTAAAAAGTATAGAACATCTAATGAACTACAGAAGATTTATTTTCCTTCACTCTGTTACACATCAGGTGCCATGTTCACACTTACAGATATATTTGTTTCTTCGCTCTCTCGCAATAATACAATGTAATTTTTACTATGATAAAGAAATTATTTTGTAAAGAAAACACACTAGAAAAGATATGAACTTATGTATGCGGGCACCTCGCTGCCCAATATATGAATACAAAAGGGATATATTCAATCACCTCGACGCACGAATATAAGAATATTTGGACAGTCATCTCGTTGTCCAGAATCATCCTGTTTAAAACGTTCTGAGCTAGTGACCCGAACGAGCATTGTAAATATATAAATTCGATATGAAAATGAAACATATATTCGGGCACCTTTGCACCCAAATGTGACGATATTTGGGCGCCTCGCTTTCAACGAGATATTTTGGGACCTCGTTGACTAATTATGTGGGTATCTAGGCACCTCACTGGCCGAAATTATGTTTTTAAATGTTGCGAGTGAGGAAAAATGACACTCAATTGTTTTTAAATTGTCATTTCTTCAGGATTATACAAGGCGGTTTGTAGAATTTTGTTTTCGCGACATTGAACTTTATTTCATAGTGGTAGAAAAATATAGATTTTTAATAGATTTTTTTCCCGCAGCACCGTGGTTGAAAGACCTGCAATAAAATATACTATATTATACTACTTCCCTGTTGCCCGTAGAGTTGGAATGAACTCTGTTACCTCTTTTCATAAATTGATTGTGAGAATATAATTTATTCTTGATAGATACAGCTTATATCTTTAGAACTTGTTAAAATCATTTCATGAAAAGAGGTAAGAAAACTTATTCCAATTTAATGGGCAACATTTTAAGAGTACTACTGCTACTACTACTACTACTACTACTACTAGTACTACGGCTGCTTCTAATTCGTTGAAGGAATTTCAGATAATCATTACAAAAAATAATTTTGAACCAGGTACTAGCGATGCTGGTGGAGTGTTCCAAGGAAGAGGTAGAAGATCGAATGAGGGGTATCACACGTAGGTCTTTGGTCTCTACAGAATGGTCTACTTACGATGAATGTCGAGTCTATTGGATTCATGACCTCCTTCATGATCATCTGGTTGCCAGGGGAGCTGGAAGAGACAAGGTAGGCCTAGGTCTAGTCCTGGTATATTGGATTGTCATATTATATACATGTACTTAATAAGAAAAAGGTTGAATGTCACTAGAAAGTTCTATGGATATTGTTTGCTATGATAATAACAGTCGGACAATACACCAGACGGTGGCCTGTACTATAACTGAAGACGGACAATTGGTGAGAAAATTACTTGGGAAAAAACAATGCAAACAAGAAATGTCCAACCGTTTTCTAGTATTTGCAACAGCAAGTTTGAAAACGAAGACCAATAAAGATTTATACAAGATACCTTAATGAGTTTACGAATCATAGATAACTCTTGGTCGTATGGATTTCATTTTGTGTATTCATTTACATCGAGCGAGAGAAAAATAGGACATCAGTTATGTTTAAAACCCATAATATATGCATCAACCGTGAATTAGTCAAAACATATACAGTCTACGTGTATAGTTTAGAAGTCCCAGAGCATTGCAAGGTTAATACAATGTCACTACAGTTTGATATGTTTGTTTGCTCTGTAGCCACTGACCATCTGCAATGAGTTCAGATGTCTGCTGACGCTGTGCAAATTCAAGTCCTGTAGAAGAGATATTATTCAGGCAGCCTTACATTTCCCACCTTCGTCCTTAGTCTACAGGAGAGCTCTAAGAGTAGCCCAAGAAACTAGAGATGGGTTTTACATCAAAGAAAGGTAAGAACTAGTACGAGGATGTGTCGTCATATAGTGGTCCATTCCCTTGACTCTAAATCCAATCGTCGACGGTTCGAATTCCATCACGGCACGTACATCCTTTTCCAAGACAATATTCCACACCCAGGTGTAAATGGGTACCTGGCAAATGCTTGGGTAATAATAATTACAGGGCTCTCAGGAAGAATATTTTTGATGCTAATGAGGCTTCCATGGGTAAATTTATTATCATCATCATCGTTATTAGACTATTACTATTATCATTATAAATGCGTGAACACAATAGGATAAAATAAATCGGAACCCATGAATATGTCACAACAATCTACCTTTCGGTGCCAGGTAAAAACTGAAGTTAAAAATGACAATTTTAGTTCTGACATTTTTCCACCGGCCCATGAAAAACAAACATACTATTCCGAGGTCATCACTGATCAGGATATTTATCTTCCTTCCTGTTTTTGGCAGCACCAATATCCAACCCATGATGACTTGTGTGAGACATGGAACTACTGGTAAATCTGCAAGACGATCTCAACTCCTACCAGACGGCAAAGAAGTTGTATCGGTTGGATTCGAAGGATTGTTTCAGGTAAAAGAACTCTCAAAATAAGAAAAAGACTGATTGACGATATAAGAAGAAGCTCCAACGTAATATACACAAATTACTGGCATTAATTCAAATGTAGATTACGTTAACATACTGAAAATCAAATAAATGTAGAATGCCAACGCCAGTAAGTTCATATTTAAAGAAAACAAAAAATGCATGAAGGGTAAAAAGGAAGGGGCTAGACCGACTTAGGGATATGTGTGTATGTGTGTGTGCGTGTGTGTGTGTATGTGTGTGTGCGTGTGTGCGTGTGTGAGCGTCTGTGTGTGTGTGTATGTGTGGTAGAAGGCATTAATCATGCATGACTATTAATATGTTTATTCTTAAGATCTTTTTATCGTTATTATACTGTGTTTCTCTAATTTCCCTCTGCGAAGATCACTGACAAATACTCGGGTGCAGTTCGGATGCAAATCTCTGCTCACACGGACAGCATCAGCGATCTGTCTGTTAGTCCTGACGGCGCACTCCTCGCTACCTCGTGCACTGCCGACCGCTGTGTCAATGTTTGGAATATTACGAAGGAATGTAGCCAATCACAGCGTCTTGTGAAGCGATTATGTCAGGACAATGCCCGAATTACCTGCTGTGCTTTCGTTTCCGTCCGCAAGGAGCTGATGCTTGTTTCTGGGGATGATTCAGGTTGCCTTAAGGTATTGATTATCCAGTTACATACATTATAATTTAATTCTTGCTATTTCTATCATTTGCTACAGGTCCGTGGATCGAGATAAAACCCATAAATGATAGAATACAGAATTTCAAAGTATGGCAATAATATTCTACATAACGTTGTAATGACTGAAAGCATTAATATAGCTTTTTACATCTGAAATCCTGCTTGTCTATTGAAAAACAATCATACTTTTTTTTCCTATTTTTCCTATGTTTATACTTTGTTTCTCTTTACAGATATGGGATGGATGTTTTTCATTAAGACATTCAGTCAAAGCACATGCGTTATCTATCATAACATGCAGTCCTTGTCACGCTGAGGGTACCGTTTTAACTTGTGCGAAGAGGGATGACACAGCGATGGTATTTTCTTCTTCTACTTTTACAATTTAAATTCAAATCGGTATTGAACAGGCAGAAAAGACTAATACAAGATTAATAAAAACATGCATTAAAACAATTGTAAAAATGGCTAAGCTTGAAAAGAAACAAAAACTTTTATTGAAACTTCCGCCATTTCACTTCATTGATAGGCTAAACGTCAAATAATCCATTCTACTTGTTGTGACATCAGTTCATTACAAAAGAGGAATCCCATTTATCTCATGCATTTGAATATTATTAATAGGGTTCGAGGTTAAAGCTAATCTTGAGCTCTGGTATGGGCATCGTTTGTCGAGAGAGCATGACTATAATTCATTCTGGATTGTTTATCCTGCAGTAGGTTGATTGCTTGAACCAGTAAAATGAAAACAACCTCACAAAAACTTGCTGGAAATCATTTTCAAAAAAAAAAAAAATAACTCTCATTAATTTTGCCTATAGTAACCTGTGTTGAGCACATGGTGTCGAGTCTACCTTTATTTCCTAACCTTTCTTTGCTCATTACTCAGTCCCTATAATACATTTTCTAACAAAATCGTTTGGCACATGTCATTTATGTGTAATATTTAACATTCAGTGCAATTTTTGATGGATTCTGTGAAAATTTATTTTTCTATCATTACCAGAACTCAAGCTTATCTTTAACTTGGTATTACAATTTGCCTTCTTTCATATTCATAATTATAAAGGTATTTTCTGCATCATCGGGCGAACGAAAATGCGAGATAAACCACTCAGACGATGTTTTAGATGCGGTGTATCTTAGCAACGGTTTAATCGTGACAACGACCGGATTTGAAGTTCAGGTTTCTAACAGCAGTGGACGTCGAATCTGCCTATGGTCGGGTAATACCGAGAATGAGTTCTACGAGAAACTGAGCTGCTGTACCGGATCAGAGGGACACCTCATCGCTGTTACCGGTCGAGGAGGAAAGATCACAGTAAACAATGTGGAATTTAAATATTTCAAGATTACAATAAACTGTTGTAATGTTAGGGTAGGATTATCAAAAATAAGCATAATCGTCAGTTCTGGAATTGGACGTGTGGAAAATGTTCAAGCTGGCTGCGCAACGTGAATCAAAATGTACATGTCCCTAGTAGTAAATTGATGTTCCTTCCATGATTTCTGGTGCATTCCCAGTGCAAGTAGGGTCAATTATGTTCAAGGGAATCCCAAAGCTGACATGTGTGCTCAGCATACCAAATCTATAGGTTCGTATAAATCCGTGCACAAACAGCCAATCTATTTTATTTAAAATGTTAAGCACGTGTTAGACTCACGAGGGATTTCACAATTTGGCCCAAATGTATTTTGTTCTCTCTCATCTGTCTGATATTAGTGTAATAATGATAAGAGATTTTTACCCACCGATTCGAACCCTAGTACTAAGAGTAATATTCCACCTAATGAAGAAGACTTTGAAAGAAAATAGAATGATTATTGTCATGGGTTTCTAATACTTGTAAAAGAAATCACAATAATCTGACGATAAGAAGTTTGAGCCTTACCACAACAAACTAGCTAATTAATAGTCTGCGTTGTTTTCACCATTACTGCCGTACGAAATATACAACCAATTGTATTTTTTTCCCTACATTACCACTTCATGACGAACTGTTTTATATTCACTTGTTCCCATTCATCTTACAGGTTTTGAGACTGGGGATGACGTTTCTGATTTCGCGGAATCTGTCGCTATTTTGTATCCTCAAAACTGGGGGCATCTTTCGCCTAGTCAATCATACTTCCATTTCATCATTCAACGGAGAGAAAGGCAGTAAAGAATCGCTCTTCCTCACTACGACACATGACTGTGGACTTACAGTGGTAACTCTATTTTTCTCAACCATCACATAATATTGTATTGAGTACACATAGGTATATCGATGAATTTGATAACATTGTAATTAAATATTCGTAACGGGGTGTATGCCTGACCTTTTTCTTGAAAGTACATTTGATAATTTCTTACAGCAGTGGTTGCAATGTCAACATCATTTGGCAATACTCTAGTTTATCAAACATTTCAGAGACTAACACTTTTCTCGCTTAAAGGTGTGGAAGATATTAAAACAAGATCCCCCTGTCACTTTGAACCACGCCGTTTGGGATGCATCATTCAGCCACAGCGGAGAACTCAATTGTCTTGTTGCTACCGAGTGTCCTGACTCCAAACAGATAATGGTAAATTAACCATGGGTGTATCATTTATAATCTTCATTTATGAAGCCCTGAACTGAATTCCCTATGGTCACATTTCCTACCCTTCCTTGCTTTTTTTTTTTTTAACGAATACATTCTCTCGCATCAATTTACGTGTGCATCAACTACAGAGTATCAACATGACTGTCATGTAATCATTTCATATTTCTCGTTTCGTCATGCTTCGAGCGGATACTTGTGTCATTAAAATCGATCATTAATATTCAGATTAGTCCACATTTCGAACCAGTTTTAAAATATTATCAAGGGTTTTGAAGCAGTGGTTACTACCATTTTTAACATGAGCGGAATAAGTATTGTGGTGATACATACATTGTCATAGCACTTTCTACGGATATTATATACTCCAAGTCATATCTGACGCATGAAATACTCCGTCTACAAGAGTTTTAGTTTTTTTTATTCCTGAGTTATCCCCTTCACCCCCTCCCCTTTTTGTAAAGATAACCAGCAAAAAACACGTACTTGATTTTATTTTTTATATTAAAGATGGCGACTTACTCGGACGAGAGAAACTGCTTCAGTTCCTGTACCAAAGTACTGAAGGTAGGCGAGGGAGTTAATATCAATGCTGTTGATATTAGCAAGGTCCCAGGGCAAGCCGGTGTGTATACAGACGAAGGCATACAAGTAAGTAATGGAGATTATTAACGAGTTAAATAATATATAATACAACCAAAATACTAAAGAAAAGGCTGAAGGTTTATTAGGGTTATTAAGGTTATTGTGGGTTGTTATTTAATATTTTTTCATGAACAGTGACTTCGTGATAACAGCATGGCATATTATACTTTTTTAGTGGAAGGAAAAATATATAATGTAGCCCTATATTTATTCGAAGCATGTGGGGTTATGGCCAATAATCTTTGCATGGTGATAAACTGATGACAGTGAAGTTTATTTAATGACGGCTCGGACAGTTTCGATATCACTTCATTTTATTCCCTGTACATCCATATGCTTCTGTAAATTATGGTATCAATGATAACAAACCTTTTCAACACCTTTAACCGTATTCAGGTTGTAAAACTTCCAAAACCGGGCAAAAATCGCAGCAAATCAACGAATGACTGTCACGTCTTTGAGCCTTCAGAAAACAAGATTTTACTAGCACGAATCATTGGCAATAAGCGAGAACTTCTTACCGTCTCTACCGGTTCAGGGATAAGCATAGAGGTAAGGACTGGATTAATCACCATGTAATCTCGAAAGAAAACACCAATGGCCTACAATGTCGATTGGTTGTTCTCTTACGACAATCGTTTCGAAGAAGAATGACGTTATAGAGGATATATAGACCAGTTTCATAAGATACGTTCATCAATAGGTTTGACCCTTTTGTATCTATTCACAACTCGACACGATAGTAACTACTTTCGAAAAATGAACCTAACTCAATTTCATTAACATTGTGCGTCACCTATTGAAATGTGCGAACATGATTATGTGAATGACATATTGTGCAATCCGAGCACAATCTATGGTCGGCGACCGACCGATTTGTAGCCTACTCGGTCACCGCTGGAATTTAGCCATCGCCCAACGATATTTGGAGAAGACGAGAAGGATGTAGAGCACCAGCGATGCCTGGGCGGTGCCCTGTCGATTTCCCGTCGGTCGCCGGTCGATTTTAGGTCAAAACTAGGCGAAATCGGGGAGCTTCTCCGGGTGGCGTCCGGCAGTGACCAACTGATGACCCACCGATTTCCGAGCGGTCTCCCACCGGCCACCTGCTGATTTTAAAGAAATTGCCCTGCGGCCGACCGGTGATCGGCGGGGCAACAAAATTCGCTCGGTGCCCAGGCGGTCGACGGCCGGGCACCGACCTAATCTAGTGTTCGCCGTCGAGCGATTTACGTCAAAAATCGAAGCCGCTAGGTCAAAGGCTGCTAAACGATGTTGAAATCGCCGCCCAGTGAGCGACTGATCTCCCAGTGGCGACCGGGCGGCGACCGCACGGCAGCCTTTTACCCAGCAGCTTCGATTTCAATGGCGAATGCTCGATTAGGTCGGAGCCCGGTTGGCGACCGCCCGGGCACCGAGCGTATTTTGGGCGGCGAGTGAAAAGTGAGCAGACGCCGCCAAATTTTAACTCCGCGCTAAAACTTCAGCGATGCCCGGGAAAAATTGCTAAAAACTCGCCGCCGAGCAGGCTACTTTTTGGGTTGTGACCATAGCTTAAGGGATATACAAAAAAAGAATTGATATTATGCCCTTCAGTTGATTTTTTTTCGAAAATATGTGCGTGTTATTCGTTTGTCACTTATTATGCATTTATCAGTCGTCACCCATTTGTTATCCATTCGTCACAAATCTGCCACCCCTTCGTCCTTCTTATTCGTCACCATTTTGATGTTTTTTTCGTCATCCATTTGTTACCCGACTGTCGTGACCCTATCAAACATTCAATGTCCTTTCATCATCACCATCATCCAATCGTTTTCTTCATTTTCATTCGTCACCCATCTATCACCTATACTTTATTCATTTGTCACCCACTCTTCTTACATTCGTCACCCACTCGTCACTCACTCCTTTCTTATTCGTCACCCAATCGTCATCTATTCTTATCTCACTGGTGAACCGTCGTCACCCACCCTCCTCACACTCGACACCCACTCTTCTCTAACTGGTGAACCGTCGTCACCCACCCTCCTCACACTCGACACCCACTCTTCTCTCACTGGTCAACCGTCGTCACCCACCCTCCTCCCACTCGACAATACTCTTCTCTCACTGGTCAACCGTCGTCACCTACCCTCCTCCCACTCTTCTCTCACTGGTCAACCGTCGACACCCACCCTCCTCCCACTCGACAACCACTCTTCTCTCACTGGTCAACCGTCGTCACCCACCCCTCACTCGACACCCACTCTTCTCTCACTGGTCAACCGTCGTCACCCACCCTCCTCCCACTCGACACCCACTCTTCTCTCACTGGTCAACCGTCGTCACCCACCCCTCACTCGACACCCACTCTTCTCTCACTGGTCAACCGTCGTCACCCACCCTCTTCCCACTCGACACCCACTCTTCTCTCACTGGTCAACCGTCGTCACCCACCCTCCTCCCACTCGACACCCACTCTTCTCTCACTGGTCAACCGTCGTCACCCACCCTCCTCCCACTCGACACCCATTCTTCTCTCACTGGTCAACCGTCGTCACCCACCCTCCTCCCACTCGACACCCACTCTTCTCTCACTGGTCAACCGTCGTCACCCACCCTCCTCCCACTCTTCTCTCACTGGTCAACCGTCGTCACCCTTCCTCCTCCCACTCGACACCCACTCTTTTCTCACATATCACAACGTTTGGAGCTAAATGGACCCTAAATGGAATTGAAGAAAATGCATCAGTCATGCTCTGTGCTCACAAGATATTACATATCCAGTATCTCTGTGCAGCCGGTATCGTTCAACCACTGTGCATTGTATTAAGTGCGTGGACTGTGACAGAGACTATAGGCGACACAGTTCTCAAACTGAATCATCTCACCAAACACTTTCGCTCGGCAAAGATGTGATGGTCTTACATCTTGGAGACGCGGGGGGGGGGTTAACATTGACCAATAAAAACGAGTCTTATATGGTTGGAAAGATAAAATTACATAGATAAATGACTTTCTCAAACTAAAAACTAGAAGAGGGCGGTATGCCAAATTGTGACATGGTAATAAAGCTCTGTCGCCCGACCCGTTGATTTTACACAGAAAACAAGCTGAAAATAACAGTACATTGACGACTTTAAAAACTAAGACACAATTGTAAATCGTAATAAAATTTGAATTTGTTTGCGTTACTACTCTCTTAAAAAGTAAATCGAATGATCACTGACGTTACTCCTTTAAATCTTTTCTTCTTAGAGAGCACTTCATATTCATTCCTAAACAAGTGATCACTGACGTGACTCCCGGGGGAGTGAAAATAGAGTGAAATTCACTCTTTGTCGTATTATATTAGTCAATCTAAGCAAAATATGTGGTACTTTTAGCATAATGGAGATGGATGTAAAAAAAGATTTGTTTTTTCACATCATTCTCCATAGAACATTTTTTGCAAATAAAACAAGCACTGTTCAATGACCCAAACGTTTTGATATTTTCGTCACCCATTTTTCACCCACCCGACACCCACGCTTATCTATATCATTACCGCATTTGCCACCCACTCTTCTCTCGTTCGTCGCTCAATATTTGTCATCTATTCTTCTCTCATTGGTCAACAGTCTTCACCAACCCTCCTCTCATTCGTTACCTTCTCTTCTATCATTCGTCACCCACTCGATACCCGCTTTTCTCTCATTCGTCATTCATTCGTCATCCAATCTTTTCTAATTGGTCAGCCGTCATCACCCACTTTTATCTTATTTTCACCCGTTCCTCACCCTCTCTTTTGTCATTCGTCAGCCATTCATCACGTACTCTAATCTCACTCTTTCCACTCTTCTTTCACTCGTCACCCACTCTTCTCTCACTCTTCACTCACTCTTCACTCACTCACCAACTACTCTTCTCTCATTCGTAACCCGAGTGTCACCCTCTCTTATCCACTTGACACAAACTCATTCGCCAACCATTTTCACTCATTATCCGTCCATCTGTCAACAATAGTTACGTTCACCTTTTTCTCTCCTCGGAAATTGTTTCTCAGAGTAGTGGAGCACTTCTCACTGAAATATCATTATTGATAGTGGAGCACTTTTGCCTTGATTGTTACCGCTTTAAACTGCATGCTTATTATCATGTTGCTTTGTCTGTATTTTAAAATCAGGTTTGGTCGACGGATAAGCAGCCATCAGTGGTATCCAGCAGTCCTGTCATAACGTCCCACCAGGGACTTTCTGCCGACTTGTCATGTGATCAAGCAAACCTAGTAGTTGGCTGTTCAGATGGAACTGCTCTTCTGTTTAAGGTTTGCTTCATTTATATAGACCACACACGATATAAAATGTGATGATGACATGAAAGCAGAATGAGATGAAGAAGATGAGCAAATAAATTTGAAAGGGGAGTAATATAACGAGGAAAAAGGGAGAAAATTTACGGAGATGATAATGGGATAAAATGTGGACTATGGGCAAGAAGCTGGAGGATTAAATTGCAAAGATTGCTACATAATTTGATGATCAATTCAAGAAGGTCTTAATGTAATGTAAAAGTACGATAAAATATGGGGTAGATTACTGTTTCATTATCAAGTCTTGGACAATAGGCAGATTACATAAAGGCAACTGATTCCTACCCAATACACTGTTATGATGTTTTTATAGATGTGCGATGGTAGTCTAGGCGAAGGGGAACCAATCCATATGCAGGGCCCACCAAGTCGTGTGAGTCGGACCGAGTTCTCAGCCGATGGAAAACTAGTACTACTAGCTGGCTGGAAACACCTAAAGGTAATAATAACAATAAGAACAATGGTTAGACCTGCAATTGTATTAGAACGATTTGTGTGCATAGAAGCACGTACGCTCCACATCGCAGATGAAAGAGCATCTGTTGGACTTTCTATGTGTTGCAAGTCTGTAGCCTCTATAGTGGAGGCTGAAAGAAAAGCCTTACGAAGTTTCAAAGGAATTTGGGTGGAAGAAAAAACCTAGATAGGGTTCACAAGCTTTGCGTACAAAATGAATGGGATTTGGAGGAAGAAGATCAAGGAGAAGGTGAAGTAGAACGCAAACGAAAGCAAGGTGTTGACGGAGGATGTCAATGAAACAACTATTTCTTATAAAAGCGCTTTACCGACCAAATCACTTACCGTATTATTATGACCCCTGTCACTGGATACAATTACTATTCCACACATTACAGTGCACATTCTCCTTTTTACGGGCACTCACATGCAAATCCAAAATATCTTATTGCCCTTTGCATCCTACCGGCTACCCATTTTAGCACCTGGGTGGAGAGGAGCGGTGTAGATAAAATGCCTTGCTCAAGGACATAAGTGAGGTGCCAGGGCTCGAACCACGACCCTTGCATTCTCAGTCAATTATTAAACCACTCGACTACAACACCTCTGCTTGATCCAAATATTTAAGGACTCTACCCATTACTTTTCCAAAAAAAGTAAGGCACACCATGAATATGATCATTCATTGATCATAGAAATTCGTTTGGGAGCATCACTATCTCTTTGGTTTTTACATTTTCTTCCGAACCTGATGTGTCCTATGCGTTGAAAAGGAAATTAAGCGAGTTTTACAGGCAGAGAAATAGTTTTTTCTGAGAATCTATGCATTGCAATGTAAACATACATACAATCATTCTATTAGCTATTATGCTTGATGGATGAACTTGAATTATGTTATGTTATTTTGCTGTTACTTCTTAAATCTATTTATATGTAACACCAGTGGATGTGGAGAACCTCATGGCAGCATAGAAATTCTTTTAGGTAATCCTCAGGCGTCCGCTGGTGGAATTTTCACTGTCTTGTAACTCTTAATGTCATTTGCTCTGTATTGTCATTTCTATTTTTGTTTATACATGTACTTGGAAATCAGTTAAATTTCAGAAAATTAAACAGATTTGTTACGGTCGTTTCTATTGCATTTCATATTCAGGTATATGATGTGAGCACCCAACAGGAGTTGAGCAGTATTACGGAAGAAATGCCCATTGCAATGGCTCACTTTATTACGGACTCCAGCAAGATAGTTACATCGACAGGGACTATGATAAAGGTAAATTTGTAAACCTATTTTAAACCCCTTTTCACTCAGTTTGGTACCAATATACCTGAATATACGATTGGTGCCACTATACCTCACTATCAGTTAGGCACCAATTTACCTCACTATCAGTTGGGTAACAATATACCTCACTATCAGTTTGGTACCAATATACCTCACTATATTTTTTATTAAAGAAATAGTGTTCAATGATTGGTCAACAAAGCATCATGTTACCAAACATTATATTGCTATGATGCTACCGTTAAAAAAAGTGCTATACCATGACGTTATCCATGTTATAGTGCACTATTCCATGGATGACGTCATAGATATTTTCTTCCAAGGCACTAGTGCACATATATTCAGCGAGCGTACAGGATTTCAAATGCCTCCATTTTTATGAAGGTTGGTTTAAAAAAAAAATATGTATATATATATATATATATATATATATATCATGCACTATTTCAAGCCACTAGTGAAACAATTGATTCCTCGGAGACAGAAATAATTTTAACTAGAGCCTCTCAGTGCATGGTATATTTGTTTATTATTATTTAGGTACCAATATACCTCACTATCAGTAAGTTACATGATACCTCAGACGCGGATCCAGGATTTCTTAGGGGGGGGGGGCCCAAATTTGAAATTATGCGAGCCAAATATTGGTACGTAATGGTGACCAACAGTGACATTATGCGGGGGGTCGGTACAGGGAGGGGCGATTTTCCCCCTCCCTCCTTTCGCGGAAGATTCGACGTTTCATTAAATTATTAGAGAAAGAAGACAATTCGTTGTACCGTTATCGAAAATAATTCTCGTCTGAATTAATTATTCCCCCTCCCGCGCGAAGCGCGGAAAATGTTACGATTTATTAAATTATTAGAGAAAGAAGACGATTCGTTGTCGAGTTCTCGACTCTTAATCCTCGTCTGAATTGAGGTTTCCCCCCCCCCCTCTCCCGCGCAAAGCGCGGAAGCTTTTAAATTTCCTTAAATCATTAGAGAAAGAAGACGATTCGTTGTACCGTTTTCGAAAATAATCCTAGTCTGAATTTAAATTTCCCCCCCCCCCCCTCCTCCCGCGCGAAGCGCGGAAGCTTTTACGTTTCATTAAATCATTAGAGAAACAAGACGATTCGTTGTACAGTTCTCGACTCTAATTCCTCGTCTGAATTCAGTTTTCCCCCTGCCGCGCGAAGCGTGGAAGCTTTTACGATTCATTAAATCATTAGAGAAAGAAGACGATTCGTTGTACCGTTCTCGTCTCTTAATTATGTCTAAATTCAGTCTACCCCCTCCCCCTCCCGCGCAAAGCGCAGAAGCTTTTAAGTTTCATAAGATTATGAGAGAAAGAAGACGATTGGCTGTACAGTTCTCGACTCTTAATCCTCGTCTGGATTCAGGTTCCCTCCTCTCACGCGAAGCGCGGAAGCTTTTAATTCTCATTAAATCATTAGAGAAAGAAGACGATTCGAATTTCAAAGATGTTCTTTGTCTGCTCCTTTTTCTTCCTACGTCCTCTTCCGATTTGGGGGAACCACCCCCCCCCCCCCTCCTTGCTACGCGCCTGCGGTCAGATAAACACATTTTGATACCTTGTCAGGGGTTTTAGGCGTTTAATTAAGGTCAGATGAGCATTTTTTTTGTATACCTTATTATTTTGTGACACTGGCAGGTCACTATTTGGCGTGGGGACCAGGGGGCGGAGCCCCCAAAAATCAGGGGTTTTAGGCATTAAATTACCGTCAGATGAGCATCCAAGGGCCCGCCGGAGAGCTCTAGGTGGAATCCAGGGGGCAGAGCCCCCGGAAGCTTAGGAGTTTTAGACATTAATCACGGTCAGATGAGCATATTTTGATGCCTCATTATTTTTATTTTATTTTTATTTATTTTTTATTCTATTATATTTCTCTTTAATATACTTTTTTCAAAAAATTGGGGGGGGGGGGAGCTCGGGGCTCCCGATCCCCGCCGTACCTCGGGCCCTGACATGTAGGAATCTCAAGAATCATATTTCTTGCCTGGCTGTAAATTTAGCAATTTGTCATTTTCCAACAAACACATACAAACGTATAATTTACTAAAAAGTGAGGAAATATCTCGGAAATTATGTCATTTCAGCATTATTTGTAATCCACCGTTGTGGAATTAGAAATAAACCACGTTTGAATTTGATTTTGCCCAAGCCCCCCCCCCCTATTAGTACGCCAGTATCTCCTCTTTTCCTTTTTTCTTTCCCTTTCCTTCCTTCTCTCTTATTTTTTTGATTGGGGGGGGGGGGGTCAACAGCCTGGGAGGCAAGGCCCTTTCGCCCCCCCCCCCCCCGATCTCCTTCTTCCCCCTTTTTTCTTTTCTTCTTCCTCTTCTTTCTTTCCCTTTCTCTCTTCTTTCCCTTTCTCTTCTTTTCCTTTTTTTTCTTCTTTTTTTTTGCAGGGGGGGGGGGGGGCAAGGCCCGCTCGGCCCCCCTGGATCCGCGCTGGTGATACCTCACTATCAGTAATAGGTACCAATATTCCTCACCAGCATTTTTGTATCAATAAGTTCTAATCAGATTATTTTGCAAGCAATGTATGGTATAATATGGAGAAAATGAGATGAAGGACGGTAAAATTATCTTTGAATAATTTTAATTTCCTCTAGGTAAGAACGGCAAGAGATGGAATAGAGAAGAGCAAGAAGAAAAGTTACACTCAAGTCACAGACATCCAAATTTCTAGAGACGGTTCAATGATGGTCACTACGGGACATATCAGAACATTTGTAAGAGAGCTCACAAAACACGATTGAAAAATACTTTCTAGAAATCAATTCAAGGGAAATAGTCAATACCTTATTGTATATCCCATAGAATTATGTTTGGATTATGTTACAGGGCATTGCACTGTTTGCACGTTCCAAAAAGTGATACATGATGCCATTGACTTTGCCTTGAGTTTATTTTGCGAAAGTCTTAGCGATCGTGTTTAAGGTAGTAGTCTTGCATCCCTTCGACAACATGTTGGGTTGATTTCAGAGGACTATGGGCACGTAGATTATTACCGTTGGAGCCACCTAGTATAGCAGGCTAGCCCCCTGCTGGAAATAGAAACGGAGAGACTGGGACCCTGAAAGGGGGAGAAGGGGGTCCATATCGGTATTGTACAGATATGCTTTATAATGATATAATGTATATCGTATTACTGTTATACCATGTAAACAGTTACCCATCAATTATCACGGATTCACCAACACCATTCTGATTTGATAGGATGTACATTTTTTAGTTGTGGAAGCTTATCATAGTTTGCTGTGTAGCGGCTGCCAAATAAATGAAATAACATTTCCGTAGAGTATTTTGTATAGGTCTAGACACACACAAATGTACAAGCAATTTTTTTCTCTTCATATTTAAGCATATTAAGCCTCGCTTTCACTGTTTAAGCCGTGAAGAAGGAACGTGGAATAAATTCTTTTGCCACCTTCTTTGTAAGACTTGTGAGTTGAAATTTGTGTATATCACTAAAACTACTTTAAAAATTAGAATGTATTGTTGGTTGCTTAATGTTGTTTTTTATGTCCATTGCAGGACAATGGTTACATTGAGTGGTGGAAGGCAGAGGAAGGAAATCTAGTGTTGTTGCAGAGATTTCGACTCAACAGCCGCACAAAACGAATCATCTGCAATCCTCAGTTCTCTTCATTTGTCACAGTAGACGAACTGGGACACATATTCGTTTTTGAGAGAATTAACACAAAGCATTGAAAAGAACTTCGATCGGGACCACAATAAAGCTACAGGGAAAAACATGGAGGAGAAGTAATAAGATGTTAGACATATGTCTTCAAACAAGGCATTGTATCTAACATAAATTTTTTTTTAAATAAAAAAACAAGGCATTGTATCTATATATAATGTTATCTGGGAGGATGCGCAAGTCTTTGTAGTCTGCTCAGCATTGTGAGCGCCCGTAACAACTAACATCGTGCCTTGCTCTAGTGTTTCCCAGGGAGTGGAGAATATGAACAAGCCTGAATCCGATGACCGGGATGTGTTAAGCGCTATATATCTACAGAATATGATTATCATTATCCAGTTTCTCAATCTGTGTTGTTGGACGGATGTAAATCTTTTCAATGCTCCATATGCTACGAACCCTATAGGAGCCCGACAGGATATACGCCCGAACGAATAGAGTGAACACGTAATGTCATTATCGTACCTGTATACACAATGCAATTGATCATATTACATGTATCTGTAAATTTATTCCTCAGTTTGTGCTGCCTGTATCCATACACTTCATATCAATAGCCAAATCAGTCGCATGGCTTCAATTATTTCATAATGTTAGTATTCGGTCCATAATCTTCACTTTATCTGACTATGTTTTTTGGAAAATATTCATGTTCAACATGAATATATTTTTAACAGTGACTCATCTAACTGATTGGGTTTTTTAATTTCTGAATCTACGGGCATCCACAATTATTCACTGTTTATAAAGTTTCTCTCATTTATTTATTCGAATCTTTTGGACGATCTGTTTGAACATAAATGTTGCTATGCGTGATTGTTTACTGAATACCATTTAGAATTGAAGTGAATCGAAGTTTCGAAATGTTAATAATCCTGTCAATATGTTCAGTTGCTTTCTAAATGCAATACAATTTCTACAGTATTATAACCTATTAATGAAATGACCTTTTAAGGTCAAATTATACATCAAGAAAATGTTAATTAGATCAAACACTTTTAAGTTAATAAGGTCAGAATTTTTTTCGGGGGGGGGGGTTCAAGGGAGTTTTACAACCCCTGCCCTATAAACAATTTTTTCAGTTTTATATTTTCGTAACGTAGAGCTATTGATTTTTCTTGTGACAACATTTGACCGGGCTTCCCGATGTGTGTGTGGTATGTGTGTGCGTGTGCTTAACGGGTTTGTAAAAATGTCCCAAGGTCTGGGGCGGAGAATAAGGTCGGAGTTTTGGGAACAGATATAAGCAACAACTAGCTATAATCCTCTTTTGTTTTACAGTGTATTCCTCTTGACTATTGAGCTCTTTATGACTAGTAAGTACATGTACGAAAGATTGTAACACGTGTGTGTTTGTGTGTGTGTTTTGTACTGTCCTGTCATGTACAACAATATACTATCCTACTAAATTATATTGATATCAAGATTGAATGGTAGTCATCTGGAATGTAGTGCTGGCGTGACCAGCTGTCTATCGAATAATGGCTGGAAATTTGTCAATCTGTTTTTGTATTATTATATTTAATAATTTCTGCATTCCTATGAATACAGAAGGGGTATGCCTATGTATGGAGCCCCACCCGCTCTGTATCGTGATGGACTACCTATGATTGAACATTTTCCATCTCCGAATTTTTATCAGCGTGTTGGCTTTTTTTAAAACTTGTATCATATGCCTTCTTACAATACAATACTCGTTGTATCTTTTCACATTAAAGGTTTAATTCTAGCAATGCTTTTTCTCTCTTTCAGCTTTCAGCTTTAAAACGAGAAAGACACGTCCTTTTTTTAGACGTTGATTTGCAGCCTGTTTTCTATTTTTACGATATTACGATATTTAAAAATTCAAACATTTCTAACTTCTTAAGGTTTGAACGCTTTCCTGCTGTTCTTAAAGGCTTGATATCTTTGCGAACAAAAATGATTGTATACGCGTATACGTTCCATAATTATCCGCAAATACAAACATTTTTGTAGGAAATAATTAAAGGGAAAGTCCACCCCCAAAATAAGTTTGTTTCGATAGAGGCAGAATAATAAGAAAAAATCAGGTGAGTGAAAGTTTGAGCAAATTCTGAATGAAAATAAGAAAGTTATGAATTATTGAAGTTGTGATCAATCAAATACAAATTGGCAACTCTGTGACTTATTATACGAGCTCTCCTTCATTTGCTTTGTGCATAATATTCCATAAAATCATGTTTTCTTCGTTATTGATGACGGAATATATATTTGTTCCTTGCAGGGGGAGTATAGAAACATATTTGCAATTATTATATTTAGGGTGCATGTATGGTTGAAATTTTTCTTGAGGGAAAATGAAAATTTTAGATTTTTTTAGTATACTGAGCAAATGGAAGTTGAGCTCGCATGATACGTCATAGAGTTGCCAATTTGTGTTTGATTGATCACAACTTCAAAAATCCCAACTAACTTATTTTTAATCGGAATTTGCTCAAACTTTCACTGACTTGTTTCTCTCATTTTTCTACTCCTATTAAAACTAACTTAATTTCAGGGTGGACTTCCCCTTTAAGAATTACTCGACCAGGTCTTAAGTCTTGATAGACCTTATTTTGTACTGTTATTGATTTTCTGTTTGTTGTTATATTAAGATCTTTTTGTTTTTGATTTACTGCTTCGTATCACATAATATAAATCTCTATTTGTGTATTGCTAATTGCAGTTTTCCAGATTGAAGCCGCCAATGTCACTTTTTGTATTTAAATCGCGGTTTACATGTTCATTTTCAAATTGAAAACTTGTCATCAACAGTGGTTTTCATTTTCATTCTGCATAGTACACTTTCTAAAAAAATATATTCTTACTAAGATGTAACAGATTACGAAACATTTACAATACATACCAACACCCTGTAATTTGAAAAGATGTTTCATACATTTCTTGTTATTAAAAAAATGATTTTAAATTCCGTTGTAATGAATTTTCCGTGTTTTTTTCTTTTATTTTTACTGCCTCTTCTTCTTTTTCTTTTTTTTGAAAACAACCCTTGTTTCAGGAAAAAAATTAGAAAAAGATAGCAAAACAAAAACAATCACCTTGAATGATGGGGGAGGGGTTTATGGGGCCATTGCCCCCAACAAAATTGATATTTAAAAACAAAATTTAAAAAAACCTATCGAGTATCCAGCAGTCATTGTTATATTCCAAAAGGTAGCTAAAATGCAACAACATTTGTTTTTATGTCTTGTATTTGCTTATTCAGGGAATTATGTAGAGAAAAAAGCACAACAAATATGATAACCCTTTTCCCCGAATTTGTGCCTCTCCATTTATATTTCTATTTGTATTATATTGTAAGTTGCTGTTGAAAACAACAAAAGAGGAGAAGAGTTTTTTTTCAGAAATTTGAATTTAACAAGTGTCCCACCATTCCCTTTGAAAAAGGACTAGCTCTCGCTTGCCTCGCTCCAGAGTTCACGACTTTCCAGTGGTCGAATCCCCAACGAAGTCCATTGCAAGGCCTACATTCCCTGGGAAGCAATCATTTTTACCCATGATGTCGCTCCAGAGTTCACGACTGTCCAGTGGTCGAGTCCCCAACGAAGTCCATTGCAAGGCCTACATTCCCTGGGAAGCAATCATTTTTACCCATGATGTCGCTCCAGAGTTCACGACTTTCCAGTGGTCGAGTCCCCAACGAAGTCCATTGCAAGGCCTACATTCCCTGGGAAGCAATCATTTTTACCCATGATGTCGCTCCAGAGTTCACGACTGTCCAGTGGTCGAGTCCCCAACGAAGTCCATTGCAAGGCCTACATTCCCTGGGAAGCAATCATTTTTACCCATGATGTCGCTCCAGAGTTCACGACTTTCCAGTGGTCGAGTCCCCAACGAAGTCCATTGCAAGGCCTACATTCCCTGCGAAGCAATCATTTTTACCCATGATGTCGCTCCAGAGTTCACGACTGTCCAGTGGTCGAGTCCCCAACGAAGTCCATTGCAAGGCCTACATTCCCTGCGAAGCAATCATTTTTACCCATGATGTCCAGGATGGTGGTTTCCTCACGGATATGCTGTGTCTGTCAAGTGTAACAAATCATTACTTGTCATCGTTTAATGCCAAGTAATGTCATTTTATGTCTTCATACGTTTCAAGAACAATTGCAATTCAAATAATTGCAATATGTATACCATCGCCAAGACTTTCAAGAAATCAACCCAAGGCACTTTTAATACCCGTGTGCGCGTCATCTATTGATACATGCATGGCAATAAAATATTACGTATAATGCGAACATAATTTCTGTAGGAAATATAATTTGGTATTAAAACGCCAATAACTTGATTTTTTTTTAATCAGCTGACATCATGTTTTGTTCTCGTCAATGAAACGTCGTCAACCAACCTTCACATTTATCACCTGGATATCATCAGGTAGTCTAAATATCTTCGCGGCAATGGGCGTGTCAGTGCTTGTGTGACGGTAAAAGGGGGCCGTTGCACTCACTCCACTGCCCATCAGGGGGCGGCGGAGCGACTTCCAAACTGGGGGGGGGGCACCCAGGCGCGGATCCAGGATTTCTTAGGGGGGGGGCCCAAATTTAAAAATATGCGAGTCAAATATTGGTACGTAATGGTGACCAGCAGTGACCTAATGAGTATAAACGTTTGGGAGGCAGACAAAAAAATCCGCATCACCCCATTCTCTTACATGCAGACCCCGCTGAACGTTTTTCAAAGTGGGTGGGGGGAGGCAAAAGTATTTACGATCAGGTAGAGCGTAGCGTAAATTGGCGTGGGATCTAGGGGCAAAGCCCAAGCGGAGGTCAAGGGGCGGAGCCCCTGGAAGCTCATGGGGTATTGGCATTTAATTACGGTCAGATGAGCATATTTTGATACCTTATTCACACTGGCAGGTTACTAATTGGCGTGAGGTGAAAGGTGCTGAGCCCCATGAAACTCAGGGATTTGAGTCATTTTTTAACGGTCAGATAAGCATTCAGGGGCCTGCCTTAGGCCACCTGGTGGGGTCCATGGGGCAGGGGTATTAGGCATTTAATTACGGTCAGATGAGCATATTTTGATACCTTATTCACACTGGCAGGTTACTATTTGGCGTGGAGTTCAAGGGGCGGAGCCCCCGGATGCTCAGGGGTTTTAGGGGGTTCAGTTTTTTTTTTAATTACGGTCAGACAAGCGCGTAGCTTGGGGGTATGGGCATCTTATTACGGTCAGATTAACATAATTATTTTGATACCTTATTTGTGACACTGGCAGGACTCTAATTGGCGTGAGGTCAAAGGGGCTGAGCCCCATGAAACTCAGCGATTTGAGTAATTTTTTTAACGGTCAGATAAGCATTCAGGGGCCTGCCTTAGGCCACCTGGTGGGGTCCATGGGGCAGGGGTATTAGGCATTTGATTACGGTCAGATGAGCATATTTTGATACCTTATTGGCGACACTGGCAGGTTACTATTTGACGTGGAGTTCAAGGGGCGGAGCCCCCGGATGCTCAGGGGTTTTAGGGGGTTCAGTTTTTTTTTTAATTACGGTCAGACAAGCGCGTAGCTTGGGGGTATGGGCATCTTATTACGGTCAGATTAACATATTTTGATACCTTATTTGTGACACTGGCAGGACTCTAATTGGCGTGAGGTCCAGCGGACTGAGCCCCCGAAGCTAAGGGGTTTAAGGCTTTCAATTCCCGTCAGATAAGCATCCAGGGGTCCGCCTTAGAGCCCTAGGCGGGGTCCAGGGGGCAGAGCCCCGGAAGTTCAAGAGGATTTAGGCATTAAACTACGGTCAGACAACATATTTTGATGCCTTATTGTGACACTGGCACATCACTAATTGGCGTGGGGTTCAGGGGGCGGACCCCGGGAAGTTCAATGGTTTTAGGCATTAAATAACGGTCAGATGAGTATCAAGAGGCCCTCCTTAGGGCCCTTGGTTGGTTCCAGGGGCACAGCCTCCGAAAGCTCAGGGGTTTTAGGCGTTTCATTACGGTCAGATGAGCATTTGTTGATATCTTATCATTTTGTGACACTGGCATAACACTATTAGGCATGGGATCCGGGGCAGAGCCCCCAGAATTTCAGGGGTTTCAGGCATTTAATCACGGTCAGATGAGTATATTTTGATACCTCATTATTTTGTGACACTGGCAGTTCACTATTCTTTCTTTCTTGCTCTCTTTCTTTCTATTTCTCTTTAATATACTTTTTCGAAAAAATTGGGGGGGGGGGGTGGCGGGAGGGAGCTCGAGGCTCCCGATCCCCGCCGTTCCGCGGGCCCTGACATGTAGGCATTTCAATAAGCATATTTCTTGCCTAACTGTAAATTTAGGAATTTATCATTTTCCAACAAACGCATAAAAAAGTATAATTTACTAAAAAGTGAGGGAAAATCTCGGAAAATTATGTCACTTCAGCAACATTTGTAAATCACCCTTATGGAACTACAAATAAACCTCGTATGAATTTTATTTCTGTTTCTCTTCCCTTCCTTCCCTCTCTTTTAGGTTTACTGGGGGGGGGGGGCAGGGAGGCAAAGCCCTTTCGCCCTCCCCCCTCCCCGATCTCCTTCTCCCCCCTTTTCTTTTCTTCTTCTTCTTCTTTCTTTCCCTTTCTCTCCTCTTTCCCTTTCCCTTCTTTTCCTTCTCTCTCTCTCTCTCTCTCTCTCTCTTTTTTTGCGGAGGGGGGGGGGGGGCAAGGCCCGCTCGGCTCCCCTCCCTGGATCCGCGCCTGGGGGCACCAATAGCAAAGGGCACCTGCAAAGGGAACTCTCAAGGCGAAAATCTACAATTTGTTAAGACATTGGTATACCCCTACATTGTGATCACATTATCAGGGATGATTTGTTTCTATTTATACATGATACAAGATATTGCTTAAACATTTTATTTTGCAGTTGGTTTTGATGGTCACTTGCGAGCGAGCGAGGATAATTTGTAACATTTGTGATGTCGCAGTGCGAAAAATTACATCTTATATAGAGAGGGGAAAAACAAATCCTGATGGGGTTTTAAGCACATTTTCAAAACGGAAGTCGGAAAAAGACCTTTGATAAGTATTTTTAGTATATCATCTATAAATGCGAGTGAGCTTTGGGGGGGAAGTTGCTCTTAGTCGCTTTAAATAAGTGGCACATAATGATGAGAGAAAAAGGGGGACAATCGTCGAAAGTAATAGGTCCTTTATTAGAAAGGAAAAAGGGCACGTATCTTTGTTAAAACGGAAATTATCAGAGGTGAACAGAGGCACTTATTGTACCTGAAAAGGGGCTCTCACGAGTTATGAAAAGGGGCACTTATGAGAATGACAAAGAGGCAATTATAATGAAGGAAAATGTGCATTTGTTGAAAGAAAAGGGGCACCGATCAGATTTTAATAGGGGTATTTATCGGAGGTGAAAGGGGGCTTTTTTTAGAAGGGGGAAATGGCTCTTATAAAAGGGGCACATGTTAAAATAAACGGGGCAAAAAAAAAGGATAATTATGAGTAGGGGAAGGGGCACTTACAAGAAGTAAAAAGAGCATTTATTAGAAAGGAAAAGGGGCACGTATCAAAATAAATGGGGCACTTATTAGAGTAACATGGGACACTTTTCATAGGTAAATAGGGGTATTCATGAAAAGGGGAAGGGGCTTTTTTTTTGGGGGGGGGGCACTTAATTGATGTATTGATGTGGTGGTGGTTATTTTACCTGACTGCTAAGAAAGCATAAATGCTTGTAAGTAAGCAACCAAACGACCGACGGCCTTAGGTCCTCTCCGAGGGACCTGGTAATGGATTAATGCCTTACCAAAGGGCACTAGCGCATTGCCTTGGTTTCGAACCCGGGTCACCGGATTACGAGACCACTGCTCTACCAAGCACATGTAAAAACAAAAGGTGTGCTTTAAAAAGGGGTAGTTATTAAAAGGGGAAGGGGCACTGTTCTTACAAAAGAAAAGGGTCACTTTGTAAAACTAAAATGGGCACCTCTCAGACTAAATCAGGGCAATTATTACAGAGGCCGCGACATGGAGGCCAAAGGCTTGTGAGTTGGAGGCCCCTGATCAAAAGAACAAACACGTTCGCGCACGTACAATTAATGGTCATTACCACTGAACTCTAACACTACATAGCGTTAGACTAGAGCTCAGTGCACATGTAATGTTGCAGCTGGTGATATATAACATTTCTGAAAAACCATATTACATTTTTCCTGTGAGATTTGAGTTGAAAGTCGAATATTAAAAAGTGAAGGCATATTTCTCTTCTATGTCCTTTTTTGCAGGCCAAAAATTCCAACGGCATTTGAAAGATAATACTAATTTAGAACTTCCCTAAAAAAGGTGGGGCTTGAAAATGTCTTCAAGTGGGAAAATAACGACTATTAGTTGTCAAATCGACTTAGGAGCTATAGAGCCAATAAGTAATAGTCTTGATTTTCAGACCATTGTACTGCATGGTCATACGTTTCATGCTGCACAAAGATTCAATCAGTTTAATTTTGGCCATCACAAGAAATGCTTATGTACCCTTTACAGCTCATTTTTATGTATGTTATCTTCTTCTTCTTCTTCCAGTATAGTACAGTCCGCCGTTGGCGTATTATCGTACCTTGTGTTTGTCAAGTGCCGAGTGTACAGTGCAAGTAAAAAGGTTCTACAAGAATTCTATGTGCAGCTAAAAAACAGGTTAGGTTATTATCGAGGAAGAAAAAAAAAGCCAGTCAGTCACTCAACTTAGTGTCTGACAGTGAAGTCTAGCAAGTAAACGGGTTTCTTTGCATAATTTGAATATGAGGACACTGCTAAAAATTTAAATTTCACAGATAGGACATACATGCCATATTCATAGTTCCTGCAAAGTTCTGCAGAATTTGAGGTTGGCTGCAAAAGGGACATAGTACCTTTAAGTAATGCCACATTAATTGTTTTAAAAGGGATGCACGGGCCAGACGTGCCCTCCATGAAATCCGACATGAAATACATAACATTTTGGAAAGTGCAGAAAAACTCGATCAGAAGGAAGAAAAGGCAGAATTAAGTCAAATAAAAAGATCTATGAAGAAGAAGAAGAAGAAGACAAACACATGATTGGAGGAGGAGGGAGAAGACCAAGAACAATAAAGAAGAACGAGAACAAGAAGAACAAGACCAAGAACAAGAAGAACGAGAACAAGAAGAACAAGAACAAGAAGAACAAGAACAAGAACAAACAAGAACAAAGAACAAGAAATAAAGTGAAGATGTCAATCATACAATCTGGTTATACGAAATTGCTCGCCAAGCAAGTATGTACGTACGTACGTACTACATGTACTTACGTAAGTGCGCATGCGCAGAGCTCCATGACTACATCATAACAACTGTGTACGAGCATCGAGCAGCAAGATAAGCATTTCGCGTCCCCCCTGAAAAAACCTTTAATTTTGCATCAAAAGGATACCGTTTCACATACGTTCTCGGTTACTTACAGAATAAATATTCTTTTGAGTATTCGTTGAAGAGAAAATATCACGATGGAATCAGAAGGGCTTCATTTGAACATCAGTTATGTTGGATCCTGCGGCACTGTGCTGAGCGCCGAACAGAGTGCTGCACTGCAGACATCACTTGTGATCCTGCAAAATAACTACAAATTCAACCGTGTCTTCTTCTGGGGCAAAATCTCAGGCATAAAGGGTGACTACTTCATTGCCCAAGGCTGTGGAAACGATGAGATGGTTGAAAGGAAAACACTTTATAGGTAAAACCTCACGTAAAATCTTTAAAAAATATTGATGGTGGTCCCACATGCTAGTAATTGTGTAGGGTCTGGTCTAGGTCTATCTGAGTAGATCTATCTCGTGACCAAGTGAGTCTTGTTCTTTGTTGCTTGACTCTTGACGAGGCCAGACTTTTTCAACCTTCCCCATAGTTTTTCATACACAGGCCTTGCCGTACGCACAAATGTCAAGGTGGGGGGGGGGTGAGGTTAAGAAAAAGCTGATTTCCCCGGAATCGCATGAATTTTTGCCCTCTAGACTATTTTCTTTATATTTTTTCTTCTCAAGTCTAGACTCTAGGGTAGCGCGCCCAGTATTCGGTCAGACAGCCGTTTTAATAGCTGAAACAATTTAAAAAATAATTTATGAGCCACGAAACTTGCACAAATCAGGCAGCTGAACAACTTTTCTTATTAACTCTTAAAATTAAATCAGATTTAGGGCCCCGGAAAGATCTTCAACTTGGCTCGAAATTGGTCAGTGTCGCACAACTTTCTGCATTTCCGCATTCTCTTAGCACATGCGCTAACATGCATAGGCATATGTAGAAGTCTATTGCAAAACAACTACGTGTGCTGTCGCAATGAATTTAGTATGTGTGTGAAGATGAGCTCTTCCGTGGTCGCTCCATCCCAGCGAAATTGCAAATGACGCACTTGCCGATGTGCAAGAGGTATTTATACGATACCCTTGCCATGCGGTATCGCTCGGCCAGTAATCAGTCAAAGCATTGATATTCAGTGCTTTATCGCGCGATTGTGTGAAAATAGTGCGCAAATACGCTTCGCTCCTAGGCAACGGAGATGCCAAGCACAAATCGCGTGACCGAATTCTGGGCAAAAAAATGCTCCGTCTTCTTTCGGAAGTATTTTGCTTATCATTATTCTATATTTTAAGTGACTATAACGTCCTGTTAGAGGAATAAATTTCTTTTCTTTTGATGGGTAGTTTGCCAAATACAAGAGGTAAGAATTCAAAATATTAGTTATTTCCCCTAAAGTGACCGAATACTGGGCACTCAAATGAGCACCTACAGTAAGTTTATTCCTCAGCACTACATCCTGACTTATGGATCCTGCTGAGTATCATTGTAGAAGTAGAAGTCTATCACCTAGAACTTTACGCATTGAGCGCTGTGCACTTAAATATAGCGCTCCCATTGGCTGATCCGCTCGAGCGGTCTCAAAATTTAAATTAGAGAGGGCTCACTTAATTAACTAAGCAGAGAGCGCATTGACAATGCCAATACATAATCTTACATAACACACTGACATGTCTTGCTTTATACAGATGACACACTTCACACATAAATGATGCACACTCAGCATAGGTACACACATAAAATAGAAAAATCAACAAACATTTCAGTAAACTAGACTACCTTAAATAGACTTATGACGAAAATGAAAATTTTTCAAACTTAAGTAGACTAAGACTTAACTTTATTCAAATACTTTTGACTGAAATATCATGATTTTGATATCAGATCAAACGGAAAATCGCAGGCTTTCTCCTCGCAATAAAATCTTATAACGTTGAGCGAATGGCAGCCAACCATAGCCAATAAGGAGGGCCCTTGTAGGCACCAATGTAGGAAAAAGAGGCTGAGACCGGATAAACGTGATGCGCATGCGCTGGATGTAAGCTAAAGTTCTACATGTCTAGACTCCAGTCAACAAAAGTTTTATTAAATTAAAAGTTTGATTTTGAAAAAAATTATGATTGGAAAGAAAATAGATCTAATTTGTATATACTTTAAAAGTATTGTAAAAAAATCATTGTAAAACATCAAAATATAAAATTATAAGGACTTTCAGTTAATATGTCTGTTTTCTTGAAGCTACTGTGCGCCTTGAGGTCTGCAATTATGCACCACTGCATTGCGTAACCTCCCCTCACTAACCTTTACGATGTACAGTACTTTAGTCTCTGTATATGACATAGTCTTGGCTGAACAACTGTCAATATCAAAGACTGTTCAAAGCTATTATTTTTAGTCCAAGGAAAGATCTATTTTAAAGATACTTTGTCCCTTTTGCATCCAACATCAAATTCTGTAGAACTTTGCAGGAATTATAAATATGTCCTATCTGTGAAATTGAAACATTAGCAGTGTCCTAGTATTCAAATTATGCAAGGAAACCTGTTTACTTTCTAGACTTCGCTATCATATTGAGTGACTGACTGACATCTTTTTTTATTTGGTAATAACACTTGATATAAAATGAGCTGTAGCAGGTACATGTACATGAGCATTTGTCTACATCAATAAATCACTACTCGTAATGGCCTAAATTAAACTGATTGAATCTTTGTGCAGCACAAAACATACGGCCATTCTAACAAGGGTCTAAAAATCAGACTAGTAGTTGATTGGAATCACTTATGTAGATTTGACAACTAATGGTCGTTATTTTCCGGCAAAAAAAGCCATTTTCAAACCGTTCCGTTTTGAGGGAAGTTCTAAATAAGTAATAACCATTGTCTTTCAGTGCTGTTGGATTTCAACCTTTTCATTTGCTTGACCTGCAAATAGGACATATATGTACATGTAGTACGTTTAATACACCCATAGCCTTTGTGTGTATTAACAAATATTTAAGTCATTTTCAAAATTAAGTTTTATGTTCATGTACCTTTCTTATATCAAACAGTCTTGACTGCGTAACATGGGGCTTACTACCTCTAGCTACCCAGGCCATTCGGGACCAGTGTTCGGTGGTCAAAGGTCGCTTCATTGGAGATCCATCGCATGAGTATGAACACATAGAGATCCAAAAGTTAGGAGAGGGAGAAGATGCCACAGAGGAAGAAAACACGGTAAGAGTAACACATCAGAACTGCCCCATTTCCTTAGACAAATGTCGTTGTACCATATCAATTACAAATTATCCCTTCTCAGTAATTTTTCACTTCATTATAGTATCATGTGAAAGAAATTTAAAATACATTGATTTTCTTATGATTTCATTTCCATTTTAAAACAATATGAAAGCAAGTACAGAGACATAACAAGAGCACTGAATCATAACATGAAATGGTTGGATACCCTTTAGAAAAAAATGCTTGTGGGCAGGGTTCCAGTTTTTTACAAAATATTAATTAACAATTTTTCATGGAATCAGAATGTTTTTAACAAAATTATAAAAACAACAAATTGATATGTACATGTTTTAAGTTAAAGTCACAGATTATAAATTAATTGAAGTTGTTGGTACATCACTTAATTGGTACCTCAGCAAGAAATGAACAGAGACATATGAACAAACATTATTAGAAAAACCTAGGATTTGACCTGATTAATGGTCCATTCAGGGCAGGTAACATACAAAGCTACTGTTACTTTAAAACTAGCTTTTAAAAATTACCATGGTAGTTATACAGATTAGGTAACCATGTAATGTGATGAATGTTATGAAATACTGCAAAATAGTAAATATAATTTGTTTCTTTAAGTTTTATTGAATAAAAGAATATTGAGATAAGTAACCTTTTAAAGATAAACAATCAGAGGTAATCCAGACAAATCCTAATTCATATCCTGACACTATCAAGATAATTGGGACCCCCCCCCCCCCCCTCCACCAACCACATAGGATATTATTTAAGTTGCTGGAACATACATTGTAGTATCTAATGGGCATAAATCAGGTATACTAGCTCCTGGCCTACCTCAACCACACCACCAAAGTGGTAGACAGAGAAGAGTTTGGGTTTCCCATTGTGTGTTTTTGTTTCATTGCATTTATAAATAACAAATGAAGAGGTCACTGCTAATTATGTAGAAATGTTATTCTGAAGAAACCTGAACTGTGTTGATTTACGAAATTCATTAAGTTGGTTTTCAGTCGTTTCATATTTTTCAAAGAGATACAACAAAAACAGAGCCGACCTCGATAGCAAAATATTGTACAGACCGTCCTTGTGATTTAATATCAGAAATTAGAGGAGCGTATATTTTTTATTTATATTCATGAGTCTTCTGTATATTTGTTTCAAAGGGCACCGATAATTCCAGAATCAGTAGTATCTTAAGATTTTGCCAAAACACACAAATATCAGGAATCCGATTTGTCTGGGTGCATTCAACTGGCACTGTAAATACACCTAGCTTTATTCATGGTTGGGTTGGATTTCCTTTTTTCAGGAATTTCCTGTAGGGTTCTTCCTAATGTATATGAACAGTGTGGGGAAAGAGCTCTTATCAAATGGTTTACTTATTTGCTTTCATCTATCTTGGTCTTGTAAAGATTATGATCAAAGAAGAGGATCGTCTTGCAGCAGTGATCGCTAAGATTGATGAGGAGGTAGCTGTCGTTCCTAGAGGAGCGTACGTCAGGACACCTCATGGACTAGTTCTCAAGAATCGTAGCTTTGAAGGTGAGGTTTAATTTTCTACATGTAATGATAACCTTTAAGTTGTAGTAATACAAACTTCATTTCAGTGGAAGCTGGTAAAATCCATGGTGAAGTATATATTCTGCAGAAAGTTGGTTGATCAAACTTTCTGAGAATCAGATACTCTGCTTGATCTACTGCATTTTCTTCTTTTGTTAACTTTGCCTAGCTAACAGTAATACATTACTCTAAATATATTATGGAGAGTATATGATATTACAAGTCCTCTAAAAAGAAAAGACCATCCTGAGATTTTTGAAAAATTGAAATTTTAGTCATTTTGTGTGTTTGGAACAAATGGGAAAGTTGTCCACTAGATCACAGAAACATTATTGATTCAGCAAATTTGAAGAGCCCGTACCTATAGTGATTGCGACTTTCAAAAATTATAACTTCCTCATTTTTTGTTTGATTTCATTCAAACTTTCACTGGTATGCTTCTCTGATTTTTCTGCTCACTTCTAGAGAATTTTGCAATCAAGGTTGGCTTTCCCTTTAAGATTGTTGCTTATTTATTTTGTATCATGTGTAGGCCTGTCTGTAACTGAATCAGGGAAGCTTCACAACTACTTCCACTTCCGAGAACCAGTACGGCTAAATGAGAAGACTCTCCTGGAGAAGGCTGACCTTGATAAATCAATAGACTTCCTAGATCCGATTCATGAAGACATCCCAAGGGGTAAGTCTGTCTCTCATTATTGCCTATTTCAAGGATGATTTAATAGTAATTAATTTAAATAATTAGTTTGTATGAGTGCATTGGTAAATATGCATTGCACGTGGTTAAATTACAATTGGATAAGGAACACGACTTGTCAAGTTGATAATCTGGCTCATTGTGACTGAGCCAAGAGCATGCAGTGCATATTACTGATGCATGAGCTTCAAGACATGAATCATTTGTTTTATGAAATGGGTCTACAATATGAGTATATATTAAAGGTCAACAAATAAGCAACAAATCTATTTGACTTCAGTTTCGATTTATTTGACGACTGAATGTTCTTGTTCCTAAGGCATAAAACACAAAACCACCCAGTTCCTTCAGGCAATGTGTTCATGTAAATCACGTTTCTATTTCCAGGCGGTTCGTGGTCCTTGGACTTTGTGCGTGGTGGTGGACTGGTGACCATTCGTAGTCTCCTTTGGCCTGGGATGAACTTCTACCATGTCCCACAGTCAAGAAAGTTTGGTTATATCTACATTGGTACTGGAGAACAGAACAAGGACCTCCCTTTCATGCTTTAAGTTATATTTTATAAGCATTTTTTTAACAGGAAGAAAGTCAGACAACTGAGCAAAAGAGAAATATAAATATTCCATGTTCTTAATCAACCATATACTACAATTAGAGCTCTATATGATATATGCAGCAATGTGATAAGATATATCAAAGAGAGCCCTGATTGTAGTGAATGGTTTATATTCATGAATATTTGTGTTGCATGGAAGCTAGGATAACTGCATTAGGTGTGATAGAAACAGATGGAAGTAAAATTTTATCAAGATTCCATGGAGAATTCAGTTTCTCAGGCAGCCAGAAACATCGGGAGATAATTATATATACTTTGAAAAAAATGCCTTCCTTGTTCAATAATATACCTGTATCGATCTTGAAAAAAAAAATGTTAAAGCTCATACTGTTTGAGGTATTACATGTGTTATTACTCTGTCAACGAAAAACTCCCTTTGACATGGTAAGGTACAGAAGCTAATTAGAAAGAAAGGTGTTTAATATATCTTCATTCTTTATTCCTGCAAGAACTTCAACAAAGTTATTTACATATTTTGCAAAAATAACTTGCACACTATGAACCTGGTTGCAAGTTATCTGTTTTTCATTCAACCGATATTTAACAAAAAATACTTTTAAAGTTCATGGGAGGTGTTAGATCTTGAATATCATTTTGCAGTATACCATGATTATCTAAATCCCTCATCTATTGTGTAAATATGTAAATATACTGGATATTACAGATATGTTTATTCTCACAACGTCAAATGCTTGTCATCATATCGGCATTTTAATTTGTAGTATCTTATCAAATCATTCCTTCAAGTGCTATGACATTAAGCCATTTAAAAATAATACTATTAATATTTCCAAGCTTAAACTTTCCCAAAACTTATTGTTGGTCACTTTCATGGCAAAACACTTTTGCAAATTAAAAAAAAAAATTGATAATTTCAATACATTCTTGTCAGAATATTGTGAACTTGTGAATCTGTGACCATTCAGAAGTCCTAGTTTTACATTTGACCTATATTGATGATCTCGGTCAAAGGTAAAATACATTGTATTCTATTTAACCATTTGAGCCGCAGTACCTGCGCACTACTGTGAACATTTTGCTATGTTTTTAAACGCATACATACTACATGCATCATTAAAAATGTTGCTGTGGAAAAATGTTTATGTCCAATTTATGTTGGAATACAAAATTAGCCCTTGCTTTTAATCTGAATTGTACAGAGCGGGTTATCATTAAAATGATATGACTGAAATTGTGGGTTGCAAGAAAGTGTACATGAATGATACATTGCTCACATTCACATTTATGGATAACCTTGGTTTATTTTCTGTACCAAATCATTATAAGCCTTGTTATATTGAGATTAATGTTCATGTAAACAGGCATCACATCAACAGACTATCCTGCCATCAAATGTTTGTAGATGATTTCTACATGTTCCCATTGTGCTCTTGAGCCATAGAAAGCTAAACATGTGAATAAAGACCAGGAGAGCATTCATTGCCACACAGTGCGTGGGTATTGTTTGGTTTAAAACACAGTGTGAACACAGCCAGTTTAAATATACCAAGGATCTAGGCCCTGTAACACAAAGCTTCGTGAATTGATTGATCTATTGTACATCATGGAAAAAAGAGCAATCAATTGCTAAATTATCTTAGCAAGTATTGCAGGGCCCCCATTTTAGGACAATTAAGTGCTTGATAAAATCTGGAAAAGGGACAATTTGATTTTTCCCAGTTGCAATTTTCTAAAGACCCATACAAGTATAGGTACATGTATATATACATATTCATAATAAAGTTATAGCAAGGCACATTATTGTTCTTTGTCAAAGTTTTGTACAAATCTTGTTCATTTTGGAGGTATTACATTCCTTTAATAAATTATTCTACCACAAATGTACAATTCATATTTGTGTTTCTTTATATTGTCTGTTCTTTGATTTACTTCTCCTTTATTGTCGGGGGGGGGGGGGGAGGGTTGCAAAGGAAAGTCGACAGGGTATTTGCTGCTTGCATACTGTATGATTCAATCTTGCCATATATTGATTGAATTGAATTGAATTTCTTTATTGTCATGCACAAAATAAAATGAAGGCATGAAAATCGTCTTACGGCTCACATTTGTATAAAATATAACAATACATTAACATGTCATAGACAATAACTACAAATAACATAAATAACATAACAATGTAATATAATTTAACCTTTCTGTTGAGAGCCAGGGGAATTTTTTGATTATTTGTACTCCCCTGGCTCCCAACAGACAAAACTAACTAAAATAAATTGCAGAAAATTTACATGACAACAATCAATGTCATATAACATATAAATAGAACAAGTCACAGCAAAGATCTAAAATCAATTATTCATCAATTGTTAAAAATTCCAGATAAAAACTGTTTATTTTGGGTAGCAGACATAAACTAAATGTACATCATACTGGATGGCATAGAGGAAAGACAAGAGAGAGAACGAGAGAGAGAAAGGAGAAGGGAGAGAGAGAGAGGAACACAGTGTGAGATGATGCATATACCATTTCATTCAAAACATTGCTTTGTAATAGACATTATTTATATTGCACCTGTGCTTAGTACTGTTACATAATTATGAACCACTGCTATACATGCCAAGAAGTACAAATACAACTGTATGCTGTACACGTACATATAGATGGTAGATACACTCGGAGTCGGCTATTTAGGGTAGACTGCCTTGGTCTGAGTTGGATCTGCTCTATTTCTTGAATCGGCATATTGTGGTCTGAAGGCAGATTTTGAAATGAAAGTGATACATTAGAAATACGTTTTGTACTTGATTTGTAGATTATCTTTGATGTAACATCCGAAAAAATTATATATTTTTTGAAAAAAACAGAATTCAAGAATTAAGTCGATACCATATTTGTTGTATTATTAACAAATCCTCTGTTTTTAAACCAGAGTTTTCAAAATATTTATGTGGCTTCAAATTACCATCACTATCCACGATATGGTGAATTTGATAAATAATGTTCAGTAACAAGCTCTCATCAACGAAAGTTGTCCCATTATACATAATATATTTGTTATTAAAAATAACTTCGTTACTTTTGTAATACTCATCTTTTTTCCTAAAGTTGTCCGTATCCAGTAAGAACATATCTTTATATACTTAGGTAATACTAACTTAATGAAATCTGGGTTATAATTGCCAAAACATAAATACATGCTTCTTCAACTTCTTGAAACACCCATTTCGACTGAACAAATATAGTTCAAGATTAGACAGCGTAAATTCCTTTAATAAATGAATTTTCCCCATTAGGGTTAGATCACGTTGTGTCCACCAGTTTGTGGTGTAAAGGCAACAATGTTATTACAATGTTATTACAATACATCCTTGAAAACAATGTTTTGTGCGCAGGCGCGCCGGAAGCAGTTTTGGACTGGGGGGGGGGGGGGGGCAAACATTCCAGGGGCTCACATTCCAGGGGCAGTGACGTAATGAGAACAAAAGTTCGGAAGGGGGGGGGGGGCAGACGAAAAATCTGCATCACCACCAGTCTTACACGTTACATGCAGGTCCCGCGGACCGTTTTTCAAAGTGGAGTATTATCGATCAGGTAGAGCGTAAATTGGCGTGGGGTCCAGAACATGAGCCTCGGCAGGGGGACAAGGGGCTGAGCCTCCGGAAGCTCAGGGGTTTAAGGTATTTAATTACGGTTAGATGAGCATCCAGTGGCCCTCTGTAAGGCAATTGACGTGTTCCAAGGGGGGATAGCCCCCAGAAACTCAGAAGTTTTAGGTATTTAATTACGGTCAGATGAGCATCCAGGGGCCCGCCTTAGGGCCCACTTGGTGGGGTCCAGGGGGCAGTGACCCCGGAAGCTCAGGGGTTTTAGCTATTCAATTACGGTCAGATGAGCATCCAGGGGCCCGGCTTAGAGCCCTTGTTGGGGTCCAGGGAGCAGAGCCCCTCGAAGCTCGGGGGTTTTAGGTATTTAATTACGGTCTGGTGAGCATCCAGGGGCCCGCCTTAGGGCCCTTGGTGGGGTCCAGGGGGCAGAGCCCCCGGAAGCTCAGGGGTTTTAGGTTTTTAATTAAGGTCAGATGAGCTTCCAGGGGCCCGCCTTGGGGCCCTTGGTGGGGTTCCAGGGGGCAGAGCTTCCGGAAGCTCAGGGGTTTTAGATATTTAATTACGGTCAGATGAGCATCCAGGGGCCGCCTTAGAGCCCTTGTTGGGGTCCAGGGGGCAGAGCCCCTGGAAGCTCGGGGGTTTTAGGTATTTAATTACGGTCATATGAGCAACCAGGGGCCCGCTTTAGGTCCCTTGGTGGGGTGCGGGGGCGGAGCCCCCGTAAGCTCTGGGGTTTTAAGCATTTAATTACGGTCAGATGAGCATTTTTTATACCCTATTTGTGAAATTGGCAGGTCACTTATTTTTTTCTCCGTCTTTCTTTCTTTTTCTCTTTAACATACTTTTTTCAAAAAGGAGGTGGGGGGGGGGGGGGCTCGAGCCTAGCCACTTTGCAGACCATGACATAAAGGCTTCTAAATTAGCGTATATCGCCTGACTGTAATTTGGGAATTACTTATTTTCCAACAAACGCATAAAAAGGTATGATTTACAAAAAAAATGGAGAAAAAATGCCGGAAAATCATGTCACAACATCAACATTTGTAAATCACTTGTTTCGAATAAGAAATAAATCACCCCCCCCCCCCCCCCCCATCAGTACGCCAGCGTTCAGGGGCTCATGTCTTCTCACCCCTATAACAAAAAAACGGACACGCTTTCCCATTCTCACACAATATGTCCACGATATGCGCGTATCGCTATTATAGAGACCTCCATTGATAAATACCGTATAGGTGGCATGCGCAATGTTTATGAAATTTAATTCCTGTGAACTTTCCTTTTCTTTGAATGGAATTGTATATGTGATTTAATTCAGGTTTTTATTATTGTTACGTTCTTTTGGATTAAAAATACAAACCATGTTTACTCTTTTACTGTTTTCTTTTTTTTTTGGGAGGGGGGGGGGGGGCGGTGCGTTTCTTTTTTTTGGGGGGGGGGCAAAATGCGTTCCCCCCCCCCCCCCACTTTTTTGACTGGGGGCAACTGCCCCCTGCCCCCCCCCCCACTTCCGGCGCCTATGTTTGTGTGTAATCAATTTTCTTGCTTGTGCCTTGTTTTGTCGTGTTCTTCATCTGTATTTTGAAAAGTCCAGAAACATAATGGAAAAATAGGACGAAATCTGGTGACAACAAATCTAAGTCGAAAAGAATAGGGAAAAGTAGTAAGAAATAGGTTTAAAAATAGTTATCAAACCACCAGTTCCTAGAAATAGAAGGGAAAAAAGGCTGTCATATGCTATTTTCAATCTGTTTTTAATTAAAAAATAGTGTTTAAATAGGGTACATTCACATAAAAAAAAGGAAATAAATAGTGAAAAATAGCCAAAAAATATATTTTTCCAGAGCTCATTTTGACTAGGGATGCCGCGCTCCACATAAACTAAGTTAACACGTAAACCAATGGGGATCGCAGGAGGATGGATATTCTCTGTGAGCGGGCTACGAGGGCACAAATTGATGGATATTCCCTGTGAGTGGGGCATGGCTTAAAATTACGACTCCAATTTCGACCAATCAGAGGGCTAGATTTCTAAAGTGAGGTATATTATCCTCAGTGGGGTCGGTTAATTTAATGTCCTTAAAACCCAACAACAACAACAACAAAAGCTCCATCAGTTTACATGAGATACAAGTTAGTGAGATGGGTCTTTAGTTGCTTGGGTCTTCCTTAAATAGACTGTTACTACGTTGGAATCTCTCCAATCTTCTGGTATTATATCTCTCTAGAGCTGTAAGACTTCCTGACGATTCCACACAAGGAATGTGCTATGACAAATGACAGCTCCTTGAGTACTCGTGGGGGTAATCCCATCAGGACATGGGGCTTTCCTTGGGTCGAGATTGTAATGCAATTTCTTGATACCTGCCGTTGTGATGATGATATCTGGCATGGTTTCATAAGGCGAGTTGGGAGGTAGCAGATCTGATCAGGTGGGGCTAGCTGGAGTCTCTTTCGTGAACACCGCTTGGAATTGTGCTTTCTCAGTGGGGTCGGTTAATTTAACTTCCTTCCATCTGAGTTGAGATGTGAGATTCCTCCACTGTCACTCCGGTTATGTTTAATGAAGCTCCAGAATCTCTTCATGGCCCCATATGGTTTTCATTCTCGTCTTTTTCAAAGATCGACTCAAGATATTTCCAGTATTCTTTCCTCATCTCTGATTGGATGTTCCTCTTCAGACATCTGTTGTGCTCTTTTAAGTCATAGGGGATAAGTCCCGTGGTCTTCAAGAGATTTTTTTTAAATATCTTAATAACCCTGCTTCTTTTCTTGATGAGCTTCCTGCATGATTCTTGCAGTACGTCACCCATGGTAAGCAGGGGCGTCGCTAGACCTTTTTCAGTGGTGGGGGGGGGGAGGTGTAGAGGCCAACGATTACCGACAAAACTAGCCACCAATTACCGACAAAATGAAATGTCCCAAATATCTACAAATTTAACCATATAAATCCGGGACCGAATGCTAAATTGTTTTTCCAATGGACTATCTATAGTACTTGCGTATGCGAAAATGGTCTTTTTTCTCGACGACATAGTAAACGAATTATTTCATCAACTTAGTCAGCATCACAGCTATATAAATTAATGCAGACGCGGAGCTAGGATCTTATTTTAGGGAGGGCGGTAGTGAGCAAGCGAATCACTTAAAGAGCGCGCTCATTAGGGGGTGTGGGTGATAGGCCTCCCGCGCAAAGCGCGGAAGCTTAGACGTTTCCTTAGATTATTAGGGAAAGAAGACGATTTATTGTAAAGTTCTCGACTGTTAATCCTTGTCTGAATTCAGTT